AAATGCATTATTGGGAACAGTGGAGGAACATCAGTTTTGTTATTGACAGTTAGTGAAATGAAATATTACGCAAGAGAGTCTAATATGAGCTCTTTTCAACTCCCTAATTGACTGAAATTGTGATAACGTATCGAAAGTCGAACCTATATGCTGCTTCCTCATTGATCGTGGGTATTAGGCTGGTGAAAGTATAAACTCTGATTATTATATTTCTAATTTGTGATTAGCGGCAACTTCTTTCTACCTTGCTAGACCTATTGACATCTCTAATCAAAGACAATTTGTCCTATATCCAAATAGATTATTACCACTTCTATCAAAATCCTGATATTTCCCAGCATTAGTTAAAAATATTGCCATTTCAGGAAATAAGACTCGATAACTGGAACGGGCTTGTAGTGTATTCTAGTGGTCTGGAGTTCTTCCATTTTGTGTAGGGCGTAAAAGAAGGTGGGAATGGAATAATGGGAATAATGGATTATATTATATGTTAAGATTTGTCATATCGGTTTATATTTTTCGAATATCTTACAACTTTTCATGTGGCGTCTGAATTACAACATGTCTAAAATGCCTTGCAGGTTTTCACAGGTTACTGGGAATCAAGACTTATATTTATAACAACACAACTGTCTTTATTCTCCTACCACATTCAGTGGGGCTAATCGGTAATTTTTAAATTCCGCTTCCTTCATAGCTTTCTCATCTATTCATCCTGATATAAATAGAAAATCATTTGTGCGACGATGGTTGTTCAGCGTTAATTTCGTCCGGAAACTGACTGTTAATGGATAGAGTAGAATTCAAGATGTTTATTTCGTCTTAGTTTCGATTTATCAGCTGTATGTGACAGTTGATTGATTTTGATAACAGACGCCTTCAGGATCTGATGGACATAACACGTTCTTACGGCAGAATACGTAACCATAAGGACATTTTCATCAACATGAAGAGTTATTTGTGCCATATTCAAATGAAAATACTAGTCCAGTCACATCATATATCAGAAGAGCATAAATTAGGTGACAGATAATGCGAGACTGACAACTCTTTTCTTGTACGTTTGATACGAATTGTTCGATGACTGTTTTTTCTGTGAAACCCATCAAGCTACGTATGATTATCACGAAAGATTTCATGACTGCTGCTTTATGTTCATTTTCGACCATATGAAGTGCAACAACAATGTTAGATGTTTGTGAAACGTTTAGTCTCAGATGCTTCTGGATTACTCAGTAATACTAAAATCCTTCTCAATGTTCTTCCTAAGTATGAGCCATGTTACTGGCACATAAACAGGAGATAACTTGAGATGAGAATCCATCCGCTTGCCGTCACCTTAAAAATCTATTTCTTGCATACAAACAGACCAGCTAGGCAGCTAGATAATAACCCTTGTTATGGCGCCTTATTTTCACTTTATTCCTAAAGAAATTGTGTTAATTCTCAAGGAAGGTTGTAAAAACAGCAGCTTGTTCTCCAGCATTGAGCCGTAGCTTTTTGGTTACTGAATGTTTACAACACATTCTCCAACTGTATTCGTTTTCACCTATAGATAGGAATACCCGAATTTGAGATTCACAATTTACATTTTCCCAAAAACTAGCAGTTTACAGTTGAGGAAAAGATGTGGGATACATCTAAGAAGAACAACTCTGAACACTTGAGACGATCAATAAGGTAAAATATTGTTGCTCATAATATAATTAAGATATCAACCGAAGAAAGGGTTGAAGGAAGAACAGGTCTGGAATCTGCTGACTATCAGTTACGCGCCTATGGTAAGCATGCAATAGTGACACTGAATTTAACCTAAACAAGTCAGAGGCTATGACAATGAGTGTTTCAATAATACGTATGCCATCAACTTCTTTGGTAATTGTTTAATTTATAGATTCTTCTGATTCAATGATTACTCTGTACTCTGATGAAGACAGTCACAGATCAATATTTCTACAATTATTCCTTTTAATCTGTCGTTTAATGTGTACATGCCACGTCTATTTGCTGACAAGTTTCGTGTTGATCATGCTACTTTTGTCGGAAATTCAGTCATAAGCGAATAATCTTTTTGGTACTAACTGAATTTGAATGTTTCTGCATAATACACCCTACTTATTTTTTAATTCAATTTAGAAGGCAACTCGCACCTATAAATAAATTTAGCGACCACTTATCTCTCACCATTTTCCAGTTTCATCATGTATTGATATCAGGTAAAGCATCATTGAAAACTAGGTAGTACTAGACAGCTGTTTTGTCTCAATTTGGGATCCTTCAGTAGTACGCTCTCGACGGAGTCGCTCACATTTATTATATTATTATGATTCATTATGATTATTATTATTATGATTATAGCTTGACTCCACACCGTATTTTTGGTACAAGTATGGAATTTTCAGCATGTGATATCGGTAGCCCAAATTTTGCAGGCCGACCGTAGATATCAGGTGTGCGTCAGCAGGGGATCGAACCCCGGACGATGTGCATGGTCGGCGAGAGTCCTAACCACTGTGCCACCGACGCCTTACACCAGAAAGCTAAAAGGTTCGCACTTCCGTCTTTATCAGATACATCTGTTAGTGTTAACCCTAAATGATGGCACTTATAAAACACGTATTCTTCACCAAGCTTGTTCGCTACATGCTTGAATATCCTTTAAAATATAACCATAATGACATTCGTTCTGCTTAAAACAGTAATATCTGAAGTAAAAATTAATTGGACGCCTATAGGTATTATCAGTAGCCTTCCTCTGCAACTGCTTTCCATGACTCCATACTAAGAATCAGATGTCTAGAAAGCATAAGCAACAATGATCTCTCAAGAAGAATCAGCCAGTAACTTGTTGCCCAAAAATTATGCTGAAGAAATTGGAGATGAATTGGTCATATGCAGAAGGGACTGGTGAGTGACATCATTTCCAGTCGCTCAAGTGGAACTCTAGTGGGGATCTCAGGGTAACATGGAGTAAATCGTGTAGGGAGAAGATGCTAGCTTATGGAGGATCATAGGGTCGACTACAAAAGTCTGCAAAGAACAGAATGAAATCAGGGTGTGCTTCTGAAGCCCTCATTCACACTAGGCACGCAAAGGAATAACAATACTGACAGATTGCTGAAACAGTTTCTTTCATTAAGCCGTAAACAAATTTTCGTAATACTACTTAAACAGGTGAGAAGGGAATTAATATTCTCCTTTAAAATATTCAAATATACCTGCTAAGTATCCAATGAATAAATGTTTATAAATGTCTATTACGGAGTATAGATGGACAGAATTTCGGTTTATTTATTAATAAAACCTCCGGAATTATATGAAGTGCTAGATTTGTAAGAACTCATCTAAATAACTAGGCTATGGAATTTCTCATCCTCAACGCCAACTTCCTCTCCTCCTCTGGCTTATAAACAGCTAGTAAACTAGGCGAGGTTTCGGATTGTGTCCACCAGGAATCGAACCAGGAACATTTGCGTGACTGGCGATCATTTTATCCCTGAACCACCGACATACTGTCTGCAATACTACCATTATTGTTATAATTCATCTCATATAGTTTCAATGATTTATTTTTATTTCCATGTCGTATCATGTGGCGAAGTGCCTATTTAAACAGTTTTCAACATTTATTGTAATGAATTTATCGGAAAAATTTGAAGGCAACTGGTATTATAAAACAGGCTTGTTGTTTACCTGTTAGGCTTGTCTAATATAATACTAAACTATCTGAATGCGGTCTGCTCAAAACTTGGGTTACGACAAACATCCATCTCTCTATTGCATATATTTTCCTCTAGTTCGTTTTGTTTTAATAGATTAAGATGTAACGTCTAATGGTATTATCTAGTCTTACGTGTATGCAAAGTGTTTACAAGCTTCTGATTTGCCAGTACCTATTAGACTAGAGGAAAGGCCTGATTGTGGATGCCAACGTGTTCCAATACATCCGTCGGTAGCACAGCAGTTGTTAATCTCGCTGACCATGCACATTCACCGGGCTTTGATGCCCTGTCGAAGCACACCTGATATCTACGGTCGGCATGCAAAATTTGAGCTACCGATATCAAATGCTAAAACTTCCATACTTGGACCGAAAATACTGTGTGGAATCAAGCTATAATAAAAAAAGCTGTTCTTCAATTATGTCCTCAGGCCTCAAAATATACTTCTGAGCACCATATATCTTGGATGGCTTTCTTGAAGGAGACAAAGCAGATATTTCATAATGTAGTAGTTTGCGCTTCAGCTCAGAAATCACTGTGTTACAGGATGTAATCTCGGTTAATATTTTACTTGAAGATACTGTGAAAAAGGGAAAATGTCATGCAACAACACTTCTGGAAATTCTGTACATTTTATAAGGATTGTGGAGAATTAAAATATTACTATTAATAAGTGTCCCACTGAATTATGGCCTAAAATGAAATGGTGTTTATTCAAACGACTTGATAAAATACACACGATACCCTCATCGGTTTCTATTCAACGCTCTCAGCTGTTCATTTACACAGTTAAAGGTATTTATTATTACTTCTTTATTCCTTTACGTTCGTAGTGGAACATAGGACTTCAAGGTAGATACTTGAATTTTCAGTAGCCGTTATGCTTAATTTAACGGGATGGGGTTGTGGGCCTCATGCTCAACCTTTCCTCTTTACCACTTATATTACCGGCTTAGCGACGTGAAGGAGTTTCTCGGTTGGGGATTAAACCCCGGATTAAATGCGTGGTTGGCGAGCATTCTACCGCAGTGCCACGGACGCTAAAGCTAATTAATATAAGGTACAGTATGGTATGAAATACTTTATCTTGTGAAATAGTCACATGTTATACTCACACATACACATGCGGATAATTATCACGTTTGGCTTTATCTTATTCTTGACAGTCAAAAAGACCAAAAGTTTGACAACTGTAGCCTTAAGTCATAAGGTTGTTTAGCATGTGAATTAAAATAAAGAACTCTATAAATACTTGACATTTCCAAGGATTGTTCGGACGTACAGTAACTGAAAAAATTATCAACTCATGTCTCATATTAAGGTAAATGAAAGTGTTAAACTCTTTCAGAGTATCAATTTTTGTACTCATATTCATCCTTAATTATCTTTATTTTAGGCTGTTCTGTTTATCGTTTTGATATACTCCGTTGGTATCTTTGCGGTATCTGATGCGAAAGGTGAGGTATCTTAATAAGGATATACATTTGTTACACTATTAAATGAGAATATTTTTAATGAAAAACATCTTTTATAAAATAGGACTTAAGCTTATATGCAAAAATTTATTCGATTATGACAGTGAAGATAGTGGGAGTATGCAAAAAAGATCAAAAGATAAAAGATTCACATATAACAAAATAATATAGAGTTTTATCATCAAAAGATACACACCGAAATAGCACTAGGTCAGGCGGGTGAAGAAAACAAAGTTAGGTGAAAGAACGTGTAAGGAATCAGCAAAAGAGAAACCGAAAATGGCTGAAAAGGATACGCGTCAACGAAATACTCTTCTCGATTTATAAGAGTAATTGTGAAATGCTAGGCGTTTGTCAATCGCGGTTGTGTCTTCTTTCTTAACAGCTGAGGACTTGTAAATTTTCTACTCTCTTCCTGAAATAATACTATTTATTACTTAACTAACTATGATTGTTCTGAGTATTACTGAACACCCAGTGGAGTGAAGAAGAAGAAGAATAAAGTAGTCTCAGTGGTACTAATTATTTCCTGATTAATGGCTGACTGGCTCCTCTTAGCTCATGTATCCTACAGATTAATTAATATTCTTCATATACTCTTTTCACTTTCAGAAAATAATCACACCTTGTCAACACGTAAGTCAACATTCTATGACACTAATCATAGTTTGAATAAAAAGAAACATTTAATGACCACTTGAACGCATTCAGGTGGCTGACTAACTCCTCTGTCCTGATTTGGTAAATGATGATTGATTCCTAGTGGAATCCAGACTGCACGATTCAAACTGTTCAGTTAGCACTAATAAGTCAAGCCTACCACCAATACCATACTGACTGGTGGTGTTTCTGCTGACAATCCAACCTAAAACCAATTGTTTCAAACCTCACAATATTGAGTATCAATTAGTCTGTTGAACAAGCAGAGACTCGTCTTTCTTTATTGTCGTCTCATCATTAAAACATGTATGCACACATAGCTGACGAGGATACATGTCTTTAGTATTCCATCTGCTAGGCTGGCTGGCTGGCTAGCTAGCTAGCTACCACCCATCAGATAATATCTCGTAGGAGTGGAAAACACAATCAGAATATCTCCACTCAGATCCATTGTAAAACTATATTCGCCAAAATTCAAGAGGTTTCATTCAGTTGATGGTATTTCTGATCCGATGAATTATAGGTGATTTGTCGTCATCTATGTATTCTATTCCAAGTCTGGCTGTTGTTGTGTAGTTACGTCGTATAAGAGGACAGCCTAACTCCTCGGACGAAGATATTCACTTCAATGTAGATATGAATCAGAAAATATTGAATAACTGGGAACAAATATCGAGTGATAAATGGCGGCCTGTTTAATCCTTTACATCTCTCCCCGATGAAATTATTATAATTTATATTGTTTTATTATATAATCTCTTACGTTTATATTAATATTTAATTAATAAGAACTTTTAGTAAAATGGTGCTTATTTAGCATTTGGTCTTTTTGGATATAGAACTATTGGCATGTAGTGAAATGTAAATAGTGTATGTTTAAATATTTTTATCTCATATCTCAACACTGTGGTACAAATTGTTTGATATATTGATGACGCTTGAAGCATAATTTATTCTTCTTTAGCATACCATATCTACTATTATGTAGTCATATGATGCCTAGTGTTTAAACGAGGGTGATTTTTCGATACATTTCTTAATCAAATTTTCGCTATTTGACAGCTCTTATCGACATTTAATAATAACAGGGTTTAGATTTTATTTGTATGACTCACCGTGCATACTTGAATACAGCATTATCGGTTGTTTATTATAAACAGAAATTCACTGGAAGATTTTAACCCGTATCATATTTTGCTATTGTTAGTCGCGTTAACAATGCACTATTCTGGTTCAACTTATTACTGTCATTTAGATAAATTTCCGTTAGTTTTGAGTTTATTTCAGCTTAATTCAACGCCTACATAACTACTACAAAAAGAATTACACCTTCTAACAATGAACGCAGATTTATCAAATAAATAATTCCTTAATTTCCTTCAAAAGACAGTTGATTTATTATGTATTTTGACAAAGTCAAAGTATTTTCAAAAGTTGGTTTGTAAGGATTTGATTTGGTTTCACGAGTTGATCACGGAATGATACCAGTTAGAGAACCGTTGAAAAACCAGGGAGCACTGGACAGCTGTTTCGATTACACTAGTTTGGAACACATTGACAGTACACACAAACAACAGGTTTTTGAATCCACGATCCTCCAGTCACAAGGTAAGCTCATTTACCATTCAGCCAGTGGGACCAGAATGAATGGCACACGAATTTGTGTGGGTGTGTACTGCCTATGGGTCCAAAGCTAGGATAAACGAAACATCTGTCCAGTACTCCCTGGTTTTCAACAGTCCTCTAACTGATATCAACCCGTGGTCTAACTTGGAAAAGTCAAAGTACCTAAAAGTGTATTTTAGATCGCAGATTTTGTTCTGCTTAGAATCTGTCTGCTTGATGTACCTGTAATCCAGATTTAGACGGTGTTTCTGATGACATACAAACCAAACACCGATAGTTTCAAACACCAGAATGTTATCTACTAGACCTTTGGACTACATTGTAAACTGTTAGAGGTTACCTATATATGCAGTGACAAATGCTTAGAAGTCTTATACGTTTGAAGATTTTTTAAATTGGCTTTTATGCCTAGGGAATATTGATTTTTTCTATTCTTTAGTGTTCTGAGTGAAACATGGAGCTCCAAGCTTTGAGAACCAAAGTTTCAGTTGCAGCAGTGTTGTTTTTTACGAGGTTAGATTGCTATTCAGCCGCCCGATTTCCACACTCTTCTGGGCTTACTACTAGACCAGCTAAGAGAGTTTTACAAGTGCATCACTAGATAATTAAACCCGATTGATGGGCATAGCTGCTGAGCCGTCTACCCCTAAACCACCAAAAAGCCTACCCTAATACCAACAGTCACATCGAAGCCTCCCAAATTGGAGGCAGAGATACTGACTACCATACAACCGAGGAAAGTTTACGTCATATTGACCATTATATGGTAGCATAAATTATATGTAGCGTTAGTGGCACAACGGTTAGGACGCTCGCCGACTATGCACATGGTCCGGGGTTCGATCCCTGCCACAGACGCACTCATTTACCTCGCTAAGCCAGAAATAATGCTGGTAAAGAGGAAAGGTTGGGCATGAGGCCAGCAGCAACCCCATCCTGTAAGAATAAGCACTGCTGTAGAAACTTCAATCCACTAGCTTGAAGCCCTATGTCCCACTGGGAACGCGAAGGAATTAATAATAATATATAAATTATATGTATATATATTTATATGATGCGGCTCACCCTATTACTTTTGTATCTTTCAGCTTCAAAATCAACACCACCGAACGGTACTAAGACAGATAAAGACAAACCATACATATATACAGGTGATATGAGTTTTCTGCCTATATAACTATGAATACTTATTAGAGTGGAGTGAATGGGAAACAATCAGTGAATATGAAACAGAAGAAAAACGTAAGAAGAAAGAACAAGCGGAAAAAGATTCGGGTAGATTATTCTTTTTATATTCTTGAATTAAAATACGTCATTTTACGGGAATTATCACTACTTTGACTCGATATTCTTTGCATGACTGGTAGAGAAATCCACGAAATGCATTCCGTCGTCATTGGAACTTGTCGGTCGTATGGATACACTTGAATTCTTAGTAAGAGGTAGTGTTCACACTCATCGTTTTAAACGCCAAGGCATATTCCTCTATGCCACTGGGGTATAAAAGGCACCTCTTATTCAACAATGGTTTGTATTTTGATGTGGTTGTGTTCTCTGAGCTGGAATGTTAATTTGCGAAGCTTTCATCACCCTACTGGGTGACATCTTCAGCGCATACTTCAATTTCCTGAAGTCAGCTTTTATATTTCTCCACGAGTTTATTAATCATCTCTCCTGGTGACCTTGGACGTTATTAGTTGTTTTTGTGTGTTTTCATACCTTCTAGGTTACTTGTATTGAAACTGATTGTTTCTTTGACTTGAACTTTGACCCTTGGTGTGTGAAGTTTCTTTCTTATCGGTTGATAAATTTTGTCTATCTATATGTGTATATTGGTTGATGATTCACTGGAATACCAGGCTGGCTTCTAAAAATTCTCTTGCATTCTTGCTGTTTCCTCTGTCTAATATTTGAACGCTGGTTGTCCCCGTCGAATTGATGTCCGTGGTTGTCTGTATGTAATAATATGAGGGAGTGGATATCATGTCTTTTGACAGCTAGCTTATGTTCGTGGATACGAAGACGAAGGGGACGTCCACTTTGACCAATGTAGTGTTTTTCGTAGTTGTTACAATTTATTTTGTAGATGATGTTGGTTTTATCTTCTTTCGCTGTTGAGTCTTTTGGTTGACATAGAATTGAGTGAAGCGACTTTGTTTGTTTGTGTACGGCATCAATTCCTAAAGGTTTGAAGATTCTTGTAGTGATGTCTGAGATATACTTCATATATGGTAAGGCGATTTTCCCTGTGCTTTCCGTGGTGGCTTTTGCTTTGTCTTTGCGATGTAAGCAGCTGACGAGAAGGCAACGAAATAAAAGATGGTACCATTTTATTCTGCTAAAACTGTTGTTCTTGCTTTGTTGAAATTGATTAAGGAGAATAAATGTATGAGATTAATAAACTCGTGGAGAAATCCAAGAGCTCACTTCAAAATGAAGTATGCGCTGAAGATGTCACCCAGTAGGGTGATGAAAGCTTCGCAAATTAACCATCCAGCTCAGAGAACACAACCACATCAAGATCATCCACCTGAGCTACAAACCTCTATATCATATCTAAATGGTTTGTACTTATTGCTCACTATGATGTCTCAAGATTTGAGCTAATGACAATGTATTCGAGGATATTCTCAAATATATCTGTTTCACCTTAGTCACAGAATCTAAATGATTAAAAAGTACTCAATAAGTAAACAGAATATTTTTCATATTGTTATTATTAATATTATTTATTTGTTTGTTTACATTAGAATGGGAAGTTGTAACAGAAATTGTGACAGAAATAGTACTGCCAAAACGCAACGGTAAGCATTATAAATAAATACATACAAACGCCACATTGATTATATGGATAGATCTGTTTAAAATTTATTTGATTACGCTAGTGTATGCCTGCAAGAAACATGTTGTTTTATGGATTGATACCAGTTACAGAACCATTGATAACCGGGGACGACTTGATGGCAATTTCACCTTCGCTTAGGACTCATTGGCAGTGCTCACTTACTGCCACGATTCGAAATCAGGACACTTCGATTACAAGGTAAGCTGGTAAACCATCCGACGTCTGAAACCCAATTCAATGACCCATGAATCCTAACTTCTAATAATTCGTGATTTTAGCCCAACCACCTGCCAATGTCATTCTTACTGCCAACTGGGTGGAACCCACTGGTCACGACTTCTTATCAGAACTGAACTGCAGGTAATTGTGTCCTGTAGCCAGTGACTAGTGGGCATTAGATTATTTTTCAAGAATTTGTTTGTGCAGATTTTATTTGCTCCAAGTTTGACCACGGATTGATATTAGTTCAGTGCTTCCTGGTCATCACAAGGTTTTTAACTGACATCAAACCGTGGTCAAATCTGTAGTGAATCGAATCCCTACAAAATAATTTTTGGAGGTAAATTGAACTCGTAACTTCATCCTGAAATTAATCGCAGAGTAATACATTACCTGCCTTACAACATAAACTTTATAGAAACCATTGAGGAAACAACAATTGAGAAAAATATAACAGTACCAAGGAGAGGAAGTTACAATGGTAAGTACATAATATTTTAGAAATGAGACAGATAATTGTATATATTCACCTGGAATCACAAATATAAAGACTGAAATCGACAAACAAATTATGCTAATTCACAGACTGAGCAAACTAAATAAGAGCTTAGAAATGCTTTCAATATCTTGATGCGTGACATTGAGTCTTTATATTAGAAAGCTATGGGTATATGGACATTTCACTTCAAAGTGTCTCACATTCTATATATATATATATATATATATATATATATATATATATATAATTTTAGCAATTTATTAGGCACCCGGTAAATGATAGAGAAAGATTCTTCAACGCTGGCTTTGTGGCCGGTTTGCACCAGATGGTCCAATATCGAACTGTTAATGGTTTTCACTACACATTTACTTAGCCATAGCGGGATATGTTCTCGAGAGCGAAAAATCAACTTCCTAGAGCGACGGCCAAAATAACTCGTCCCACAAGCGTAGTTGAATTGGTAAATACAATTTGAAGTGGCTAGTCTAGGTACTTCATCTTTCAGTCGAGGTAGTACCGACGGTCGTGTAAAGAATGAGACGTGTAGTTCTCCAGCAGTAAAAGTTCTTTGAACTGATTTTCTTTATTTCTTCGGAATTTTCTCACTTGGTATATCCCCCTTGAATTGGAGTCGTATGTAAAGAGGTGTCTTGTTTACGGACAGTGAGCAGTCCTTTTCCGCTTTGTCATGTGTTTCTTGACAAATTTGTCAGGATAGCTATTTTCAATCAAAGTATCATATATAATGCTTAATTTATTTTCAATTACTTCTTCTGAGCATATAGCTCTTACTCTGTGGCTGAGGGTCTTCACTAAATTTCTTTTGTATTTGATGTATATGTTTATCAAAAAAGCATAAAAAAATGAAACTGAACCTCAGTAGACATCAAACAGAGCTTTAATAATGCTCATCATCAAATAGTCAGTTATGCTGTTTTGTTCACAACCCTTCGTGTACGACTCGATACTAAAATTCCTACCCACTTCTACCTCCACAGAGACCATTGAAGAGACGATTAAGAGGCAAGGAGGCACTGTTCCAAAGAAGCGGACGGAAATAGGTGGGTGAGAATAGACTTTTTCAAGTATTCATTGGCATTTTCTTATCAATCTGTGATTAAATCTATTTTTCATATTTAACACATTGGTAAGGGTGTGATTCTATACTCTGTATCATCAGAGTACTTTCGGTTGAGTGTAGATGTCCTGGAGATTTAGAATATCTGTCCATGTTGATTATATTAAGTTTCTGATACACTATTTAGTCACATGGGCATTAATACTGACGAAATGATACCAAGCTTAATTTTAAGTAAACATAAGAATAGATTTAAAACACGTAGATGAGTGAAATAGGCGGGACGATCGAGCTGTTTTCATAAATGTATGTCTGTGTAAGAGAGGGAGAGAGCGATTTGCATTCAACACTTGTGATTATTCATAAAATTGTCCTGTAATCCCCCTACAATAAGCATTCATTCAGAAATTTCCGTCGTTCTCGTAAATACTAACTTCCTCTGACCATATCAGTAGAATTCAATCTGTAGCAGGAAAAATAACGACCTTATTTTTAGAAAGTGAAAAATAATACAGCCAATAGATTACGGTCCACTTACGGTCTACTTATTTCTCTGTTGGCTTTAATCTGATGCGATGTCGTAAATTTCGAAAATTCACGTAGATTCTTCTGGTGTATATGAATCAGCAAGCATGCGTTCACTTCAACAGATTATAAACCCAACTCACTTTATTCTAAAAAGCAGTGTTCTCTGAAGAAAAGTCGACAACCAGAATCCTGTGCACAGAATGAGACATCTTACTGAACAGGAAGTAGTATGATTAAATATGTAGACATTCCTTGAATTTGATCTCCTAATATCAACAATGATATGTGGCGGTCGAAAGAAGCTGATTGGGAATATGTCCTATCTACAGTGATTGAAGCTCGCGCCTCTGGAATCATTATCACTGGAACACAGACTTCCGAATGTTTTCTTATAAGATAACAAAGAGTCGCTGATGTAACAGCAGTTAAGTCTGTCAGTTACGCATATACTCATAATCTCTCTGTGAGGAGACGTTGAAGTTGGTTGCTTTGGGTGTTATTGTATTGCATGATATCCTGTTTAACTGTCCTCTAACTCACATTCATTTTCATAGAGACCATTGAAGAAACCATCAGGAGACAAGGGGGAACCATTCCGAAGAATCGGACTGAAACAGGCAAGTGGTTTTCCAGTAGTTATTTGCACTTTGTTAACGTTGTCTGGTGACATATATCTTTCATATCTGAAATGCTGGTGTGAATATGGTATGATTGCGTGTGAAATCGGAATTTTTACGTTTCAGGTTGTATATCATGGGGATTTGAAGATTCTTTTTGTGACTAATTTACGCATTGTTCTATTTTCTGGTTAGTCAGATGGGATATGAATATAGATGAAATGATACTAAGATTTATTTCAAATGGTTACATATGGACACTGAAAGTAGGTAGATGAATGACATAGGCACAAAGATGCGGGCGACTTCAAATAAGTGTAAAAATACATACATTATTTCAGCTTGTTCAGAGAGTGGCATTCAGTTATAGAGGTCTCTCATCAAACCATGACGCTCTCCTCCCCTGAAAGGCATCAAGTACGAAATCTCAGTAATATCCCTAAGGATTATTTTCCTATGACCACATCAGTGAATAGAGGATGTTCTATAAGAAATAAGGAAGTTAGGTCGACCAAGTGTGACAGAATATATTGCAATACAGCCAACGAATTACTTATTAAATAACGTTTAGATTATGATGAAAATATATGTATTCATCCTATTTTTGATGAAATATTGCAAGATTAGAGAATTCACAGAGCTGTGTCGCTTCGCATGTGCAAGCGCGCAAGTGTCTATTTCAACCCATTATGAGCTTGAGCTTCAAGAATCGTTTGAGCTGCTAACAGAGTTACTAATTTCTTCTGTAAGGTATTGAATGAAAAAATCGGGAATACCCCATGTTTGTCATATCGTCAAAATGTAAGGAAAAACTGTCACTGTCCTCTGCTATTGACTGTGCTTGTGCCACATGGTACCATGTTCACATACTTTCCTACCCACTTTCACTTTTATAGAGACCATTGAAGAGACAATCAGAAGACGCGGGGGCACTGTTCCGAAGAAGCGAACAGAAACCGGTGAGATAGAGGAGACGTCTTCCAGTAGATATTTGCATTTCAGTCATCATTCTTTGATGAGATTAATCTTTACCTGCGTTGTTCACTGGTTGGTAATAGATGCCATATATCTAGTCCTTCAGTTGGTATAGACTGAATCCTAATAGTGAAGTTTGTAATGTGGTCACCATATGCAGTGACTTGCCATCTCATTGCAAGCTATATTGTTATTAGATGATTGGATGAGTATATTTTTTTTCCTTCACGTTCCCATTGGAACATAGGGCTTCAAGCTAGTGGCTTGAAGGTTCTGAAGCAGTGTTTATTTTACAGGATGGGGTTGCTAGCCTCATGCCCAACCTTTCCTCTGGCTTAGCGAGATAAAGGAGTGCGTCGGTCGGGGATTGAACCCCGAACCTTATGCATGGTCGGCGAGCGTCCTAACCGCTATACCACCGACGCACGGATGAGTATATAATTCTATTAAATGTAAGGCAAGAGTATGTTTGGAGGTGGATATTATGTATATTTGAAAAATCAACTCAATGATGGTGTTCACTTTCCTAATCTGTCATAAGACAAACAGTTTAAAAATATTGGCTGTAGGATACCATGGTACATTTTAAATTAGCAGACGAGTAGATTGAAAGTGATCATGATTGTAATAGTTAGAAGGATGAAGTTGACTTCTTCTAAGTGTCAAAATGACAACACCAGTCGAATCTGGGCTTTACGAAAACTGTCGTGCATAGTTTGGTAAAGTGCACAACAAAATAACGAACAGACTGTCGATAATTTTACACTTTTATATGGATGAAAATTCACTCACTCAAAGGATTCCAGGAGCAATGTCGTGATATTTGATAATTCACAGAACTAATTCACTACGCACGCGCAAGCGTGCAAGTGTCTACCTCAATACATTATGAATCCACCTCAGACTACTCCAAAAATCTATGTATTCAGCAGAAGTATCACCGAAAGCCGAAATCGCCTGCACAAATTAATGCAGACGAACTGAAGGAACACAAGAACCAAAATCCTGTAGACTTTAGAGGTTGAATTGAAACTTCTCTCGCTGTTGATAGAGGTTTATTACAGCCAGGAAGTGGTGAATATGAAAGTGTGATATATACGATGACTGAAATTTGCGATTCGAGATTCACTCTGAGCAGGCAATATACTTGTCAATGTGTCCTTAAAGATTACCGTTCATCCTTGAAGTCGGGGATGGAAAACACCACCTGGTGTACATCCGCATGAAAAATAATGATCATTATGATCATCTCCGTATAAGTAATCGCTGATAACTTTTGTACTTGCACTGCGTGATTCATTGTGTTCACCTGTTCCTTCCATTCACTTTCGCTTCCACAGAGACCATTGAAGAGACCATCAGGAGACGAGGGGGCACTGTTCCGAAGAAGCGAACAGAAATAGGTGAGTGAGAAGAAACATGATCCTTCTTAATTTGCTTATCATTATCTGATAACATTATTCTTTCATGTGCAACGCTTTAGTGTGGATATGATTTGATACCAATTGAGGTCTGAGTTTGTATGGCTGGGGTTGGATATCGTGGGGATTCGAATAATTTGTTCATAATGCTTGTCCTCCATGTTTAGATCTCTCCAGTCAGGTAGCATTTTATCACTGACGATATGATGTCAAACGTGAATCTAGGCAGGCACGAGAGCAGGTTGAAGGTATGTAGGTGAGTGAAATAGGTATGAGGACAGAATTGAATTCACGTAGGTATGAAAAAGCGTCACTTCAGTTTGTTCAGGGAGTAGCATGCAAATGGTCCCAAACACTTCTTCCTATGAAAGGCATTAGTTAAGAAGTCTCCATCAATCTCGTAAACATGGGTTTTTGATAATCACACCTGTTTGTAACGGCAGAAATTCCTCGATTCGTTTGTCTAAGTCCATTACAATACAATAGGGTCAACAGATTACTGAACACTTAGCAGTTATATACTGATGAAAATGTACTCACTCATCCAACCGACTTTTTCCAGTGTTGCCAGTTTTGATTATTCACATAGCTACTGCACTCTGCATCTACAAGCAAACACAATTCCACTTCAGTATATTTTAAATTAAGCCTAGAATATTCCAATAACCTATCTTCTTGACAGAGATTTCGTCAACTAAAATCTTTTTCAAAAAACTTATGTATCTGATTGGGTTGGTGGCAGAATCAATAACACTGTAGACACTTCATGGATTTCATCTAAAAGCTTACCTGAAAATTTTTTCAGCGTCTACAGTGGTATAAAAATGTTCAAGAGCAGGTGAATGGTAGTGTGTGACATCTACAATGAATGAAACTTGCTCTTCGAAAATAGTTGTGAGCAGGACACAGATTTGCCAGTGTTTCCTATTAATCAGGAGACAGAGAACGCCGCATAATACACAAACATACAGAATCACCATTATGGTCACCTAGGTAATTCGTTAATATTTTTTGTTCTCGACCGTTGTACCTCCACGTGGTGTCATGTTTGCATATTCCCCTATCCACTTTTACTTCAACAGAGACAATTGAAGAGACGCTCAGAAGACGAGGGGGAACCATTCCGAAGAAGAGAACGGAAACAGGTAAGAAGAGACAATTCTCAGTTGTCTTAAATTCTTTTATAACTTTCTATTGAAATTTGTCGTTCATGCTTCATGCGATAGTGTGAATTTGATTTGATTCTGCATAGCAATAGACTAGGTAGGATTAAGACTGTATGGCGCTCAGGTCCGATTAGTCGCTGCGTACTTCTTCTCCTGAGTATTCTACTTTCTCTTACATCCGATGTCACTTTCTCTGAGCTAGGTAATATCAAGCCTCTTCTTAAATACGCACAGAAATAAGTAGTAAGCATGCAGATTAGTGAAATAATTAGGCTGATGCAGTTGGCTTCATATAAGTGCAGAATTGCTTCCCTTCAACTTGCTGAGAGTGTGGCATACAACAGTTTGTATTTGTTACATTGTCGTGCTACGATCCGTAGACGGTAAGAGTGACTTGAGAAAACTCTATGTGTTTCAATGGCATGAGTTTTCAATGACAACATCAGTCTGATTCTAATTATTATTCAAGGAGAAATACCGCACTTCGTCTGATTAGGTGCAACAGAATACAGATAAGAGATTACAGATCACTCCCAGTCCCCTCTGCATATACATGGAATCAAGTGCCCACTTCTACGTATTAAAAACCCACCCCAGACTTCTTCTGTAATCTGTCCTCTTCAGGAGAACTACCAACAACCGAAATCCTGTACACAAAATAGTCTATCCTATTTAACTGTTGGTAGCATCATTCACTGTGTGGATATTTCATGAACTTCATCCAGAAATATAATCGAAAACTTTTGCAGTTTTTGAGTGCATGCATAATGATGGAGATCGGACGAATAAGAATGAATGACAGATACGATGACTGTAGCCTGAGCTTTGATAGTCGTTGTAAACGCTAGACAAGACCCACAATTTTTATTACATTATTACAGATTATTGATGAACAGTGAGATGGAAAACTCAGCACACTTAACAGAGACACTACAGACAAACGGAGACTATATCCTTTTCTCCCTGAAAGGAGTCATTGATGTATTTTGTTCTTAATTGTGGTGCTTTGTTCAGCTGTTCTTCCTACAAACTTTCACTTTCACAGAGACTATTGAGGAGACTATCAGGAGACGTGGAGGGACCGTTCCGAAGAAACGAACAGAAATAGGTGAGTGAGAAGAAACTTTTTCAGTGATCAACTTGAATTCAGGTTTTTCTGTTCCTTCACGTTCCCCAGTGGAACATGGGGCTTCAACCTAGTGGCTTGAAGTTTCTGTAGCAGTATTTATTTAACAGGATGGGGGTGCTATCCTCATGCCCAACCTTTTCTCTTTACCAGCATTATTTCTGACTGAGCAGGGTAAAGGAGTTTTTCGGCCGCAGATCGAACCCCGGACCATGCTCATTGTTGGCGAGCGTCCTAACCACTATGCCACTGACGTTATGACGTTATGTAACAGTGGCTGAATTGTATACGAGCTTGTCTTGTAGCCGGAAGGTCCTGGGTTCGAACCTTCTGTGATGGATGCGTACTACCAATGATTCCCTTCTGTAATTCGGTTATAATAGTCTTAAAATATTTATTTTTCATGTGTAAAACTTTAGTAAGCATACGATATCATTCCGTATGATATTAGAATTTGTATGACTGAGGTTGGATATCGTGTAAATTTGAAGTATTTTCCCATGATGACTATATTTATTTTTTACTGTCTCTGAAGTCATGTGTCACATTCATACTACTAATGAAATATTATCAGTCAATTATAAATCGATACATGAAGATGGGTGAAGCATGCATAAGGATGGATTTTTCATCTCATAAACGTGAACAGGTTTTGTTTCAACTTATTTGATGAGTAGCTTACAAAACTGGTACCTATTATCAAAAAGTGTGCCTCACTTGTGTGAATTCAGGTATTAAATAGGGTATTTCTGTCAGTCTTTCTGACACTTATTTTTAATGGTTGCATCCTTAAGTATCTAGTCTTTAACAGAGTGAATGACGATTTTAATTCGACCACATAATAATCTCAACAGACTGCTTATCAATTAAAGATTATATAATGACGAAAATGTACTCAGTCTTCTGATGTACTTTTGCACAGTCGCGAATCCCCTAATGTTCAAGAAACGAAGTCTCTACTCCATCATATTGCAAACCAGCCTCAAATTACTTCGAAAATCTCTCTTTTGAGAAGAATATTCATCACCCTTATTCCCATGCTCAAAATATCATATGTGTTTGAACAAGGGACAGCATCATTCACTCTGTAGACATTGCGTTCATTCCACCGAAAAGTGCAGTTACAAACTTCTTCAAGTTTTTCAAAGACGTATTACGGCGAAAGATTAAGTGAATCAGGATTGGTGCTGTCTAGGAGAAGATAGAACTGAAAATGTTTTCTTTATGATTGTACATTATTTATGAACTACGAGACTGATAAGTGTGCACATTTTGCACAATAAACCCACGCATCATTATCACCATCCTTAACGTGATTTTGTCCTTGACTTCTTTTCCATCACATGATACTGCTTACTTTCCCTTCCACAGAGACCATTGAGGAAACATTCAGAAGACGAGGAGGAAGAGTTCCGAAAAAGCGTACAGAAATAGGTGAGTGAGGAGAGAGAATTTCCAGTGGTCGTTCTCATTATGAAATGATACAACTTTCGTGTCTTACATAGCGATGTGTATACGATTTCATTTCGTATGACACCAACATATGTATAGTTGAAGTGGAATTTCGTAGAGGTTTGAAATTTCTTCTCATAACGAATGTGTTTTGTGTTAATTATTTTGAATTCTTCTATTGTTTTCTAATCTCTCCGAATGATCATTTCCCATTTATTTTGTAATTTATCTCGCTACGTAAAGTTGCACTTTTCTTCCGTATTGTTTAATCCAGTCAGTTGTTCGTATGTCATTTCATTGCTTGATTTCCTCTGTTCTGTTGGGAAAATTTGTATATATATATATTCACTTGTTCACTTCAAGATATTTCCCTGTGTAGAGTGGGTTCTTTCAATGGTGTCACTTTTTACGAATGTTTTCACTCTTTAATTTCGTTTAACAATTGTTTCAAACGGAACGAACTCAATGCTATGCTAAGTATGATGGCGAGATGTTTTCTGTAACCTACATTATATCTCTCGGTTTGGTTGATTTCTGACTTTCAGAGAAATTTGAAGAAATAACCGAAGGAGAATGTGTAATTGCTCCAAAGAAGAGAATCGAAACAGATGACTGAAAACATTTCCCTTTTTGTATTCTACATACATGCTTGCACTTTATGACAAAAACATTTATAATAAGTCTTGTAAAGCCAGATTGTTCTGTTCTCGATTCACAAGTGCTTTGCCTACTCAGAAATCTGTATTTCCAAATCAGCCTCAACAATGAGGAGAAGACTGAAGGTGATACACGTGACTTAGTCTTACGTGTGCATGTGACTGTCAATAGCAGATGTATGTAAAGTTTCATCTGTTGAACAGTGACTAAACTTACAGCTACGAGAGTCAGCAGACATGTTAGTGAATCCGACATATTGTGAATCTCCAGCAACAGGTAGACGAATATAACCTGATAGATGACAAATCCTGCATTCAGAGATAGACTGGAGTTGTCGCAGAACAATTTCAATGTTGGGAATGTCCGGAATTTGTGGCTATTTAAGTATGTCCCTACCGAATTCTCTAATGTCCCTTTATCATGTTCTCCTTTACAGGGTTTATTTGTTAATAATCAGTTTCTTCTTCTCATTTATGTTCTACCTTCTTCCCATGACCTGAACAACAGTAGGTCGCCTTTCACATCTTAACAGAAGCCTTAATCTTTATGTATATTTTTTGAAGTAATTTGCTTAGTTATAACTGCTGTGATAAAGCTCTTCTCTCGATAAACATTTTTGTTATATATACTGAAATTACAGTGGAAACTGACATTCGAGTGCGTAAAGGCATACCTAAGAAACGAACAACTTTCATTGGTAAGTCGAAGTAAATCGATTTCTTCTTATGTGCTTCATTGAATCCACTTGTCACATTCATCTACTTTTTAGGTATATTTGAAAGTCAGACTGTTTATCCTCTCCAAGATTTGATTGTCAAAGTTACATCATGAAGTATAGTGACCATTTTTATAGTATTTATCAGTGACATAGACAACTCAAGACAAAAGCCTTACTGTTTACCAGCCTTTACAACTTTCTTTGCTGGATTCTTTCCTGAGTGGTAGTTATCCTAATTAAAACGTTTAGATGAAGTTCTTCTGAATAAATAATAAACTCTGTTGTATACAATGTAAGGCAATTAAGATGAACATATTCAGAGTAAATTCCTCAGTTATTCGTAATGTCGTTTTGTATGATTTTAATTCATGTGTATCCTTGACATTGTCAATCTGGTCTATTTAAACTGTTTACAATATTTCGGTCATATTCATCTAAGTTGAAGGTGATTGCTGATATAGAAAGTAGGTCATCCTCATGTTGCCTTCAGATCCTAAGGAAAAAAAAAACTTTTTGAGACATAAATATCACAAAAATGAGTTAGTTGTTACGAATCTTATTGTCTGACCTTCCTAAACTACAATTTAATGTTCTTCCCGTATGCTAATCTCGTCTGATAATCATTTAGAATCACTCGACTGCCTATGTAGCTTTCTTGGAGGTTTTAATACTTGGCAGGGTTTGAGTATTCATGCTATCCATTCTATCGGACGTATTCAGCGCAAAAACATCGATGGATACAAAAGTCGCAGAATTTATAATCATTTTCCACCAATTAATATTTATGCCGAATCATGAGTTACTCGCTTATAAGATTGGTGGACGGTTGAATAGGACATATCGCGAAACGGTAGAAGTTGGAATTCATGGGTTGGCCATTGGATTGGGTTCTAGTCGCTAGTTGGTTTATGAACTCGCCTTGTAGCTGGAAGGCCTTGGGTTCGAACCCCTGTGGTGGGTTCGTATTGATGAAGAGTTCCAAACTGGTGTGGTGAGAGCAGGCTGCTAGCCGATTGGTTGGCACTAATCTACGTTAAGGTCTAGGTCACTAATATGGGCCGTGAACAAGGCTGAGTCAACAACCAATCACAGCAAAGTTAACGTGGCAAAATATGATTCGCAGATAGAGAACTCTGTTTGTCAAGGAATCCCGAAACAACCAATCAGAAGCCTGCGTTTGTCTACCTAAACAACCAATCAGATGACTGCGCTTGTCTATAATAATGTTGTCTGAAATATGTATAAATACGTGTTGATTTTCATAATAAAACGATCTGTTGCTTCGCCCTTGTCTTCTGTTGTTACATTTGGTGTCGCTGCCTACCGACAAATGAAAAGCCTATACCCTGCAGTTTTTGATGGAGACATATGGATCTTCGGGCAGGACTTCAAGGCTTCTGCGCAGTTGAGTGGCGTTCAAGATCTGTCAGCGATGGAGCTGCTACTTGAGACGCTGCTGGGAGGTCGGGCGAAAGCAGCATATGAAGGTGTGGGCCGAAGTATGGACGAATGTTCGACAGGGTCAGGCAAACAGTTTCCAAAGTGGGAAGGACCATATATGGTCACTTCGAGATGGGGTTACGCAGACACAGTCGCAATGGCGAACAATGAGAGGCGCGTGAACGTCAGCGAGCTCCAGAAATGGATACAGCGAGACAAGCCAACGATGACGCCTGCACCAAGTAGATCAAGCCGACTTCAGTCGCACGTATTTGACGGGGGGACGAGTGTGGTGAGAGCAGGCTGCTAGCCGATTGGTTGGCACTAATCTACGTTAAGGTCTAGGTCACTAATATGGGCCGTGAACAAGGCTGAGTCAACAACCAATCACAGCAAAGTTAACGTGGCAAAATATGATTCGCAGATAGAGAACTCTGTTTGTCAAGGAATCCCGAAACAACCAATCAGAAGCCTGCGTTTGTCTACCTAAACAACCAATCAGATGACTGCGCTTGTCTATAATAATGTTGTCTGAAATATGTATAAATACGTGTTGATTTTCATAATAAAACGATCTGTTGCTTCGCCCTTGTCTTCTGTTGTTACACTGGGACGAAACGATTTTCAGTACCGCCAGATTTTCCAGTGGTTCTCTAAATGATGTCAACTCGTGATCGAACCTGTAATCATGGGTGTAAAGTGTTCCCATCCATTAGTATAAAAACTATTCTTTTGGAGATTTTAGCGTCGATATTAACCAATACAATAACTTTTAACACAAACTTTCAGAAACCATTATTGAGACAATGAACAACTTTTGGCGTCGTCCAGTAAGAAGATATCGAAGAATAAGTAAGAATAGAGTTTTTGAAACATTTTTCCTTTAATTCAGTTTATGATATACATGCATCTGATATGCTTTCTTAATTGTCAATTATGATTCTAAACTGATCACATGTTGTAGTTTTGAATAATTCAGGTCTCCAAAAGAAACTATAGTGAAATTTCACCACGAATGGAGTAATTTGCAGGTTGTAAATTTAATTTTGGCGGATTACAACAATGAACCAATATAGGCTCTGACTTATGCATTTAAGTAGCCTAGATACATATTGCGAGTTTTACAGTAGTTTAGCAGTTTCACACCACTGCAATGAAGTTAGAATTCTATCTTACAAAATCATGTATCACACAATCTTATAGATATTATTTATTATTTGATTCCTCTACCTGCTGACTGGAAATTAGGCCTTCAGTCACTGAACTTTGAAGTTTCAGTTTTGAAGGCATCATTCGTTTTGTTTGCGCGATAGGGCTGCTAGCCTCAAGTGCAACTCTACCTCTTCACCACGCTCCCTGTGCCCTAATCAAGGTTTTAAGAGTACATCGGCCGGATGTCGACTACGGTTAGCGAAAATCCCACAGCTGACCTAATGACACACCAATCTTATAAACATACACAATGAAAAAGGCCAGTTACACTTATTTTGCTGTTTTAATTATGATGTCACATTTCGCGAGATGACTTCATTTCGTTATTTCGTTACAACAGCTTTACAACAAACATGGTTCACAATAATAATGATAAAATAAAATGTATGACAATTACTCAGTTATATAAAACAAAAGTACATACTGATGACTAATCATATTTAAATAGGTCAAGTAGTCCATGGTAGGCGAAGGTTGAAGTCTGTTGTTTTTTGTACACATAGTTTAGGATGTATGCGATTAATCCGAAGTGCTTCCGTTAGCTTTAATAACCAACCTTGAATTAGAGTTAGGTGAAATAATTGTGAAACGCACATTCTACGCCTCAACTCTTTCCCTGACATGCCGAACATTTTCGATCCCTGTACCTACAATTAAAGGACGAAATTCTGTGGACTCTACTTCAAACTCTATCTACAAGTTCGCCTGCAGTTGCTGTGACACTTATATAGGTAGAACCAATAGAATGTTCCAATGTTGTGGTTGAAATGGACATGTCCCATAGTGATTATTAAGACACATAGGAAATCCCAATGCAATTAATCTGAATAGAAATCCATTGTTATCATCCATTGCGAAGAACTAATTAATGTCAGGTCACAAAATCAATATTAATTACTGTTTCACAATAAATTCACCTAAATCTAATTCAAGGTTGGTTATTAAAGCTAACGGAAGCACTTCGGATTAATCGCATACATCCTAAACTATGTGTACAAAAAACAACAGACTTCAACCTTCGCCTACCATGGACTACTTGACCTATTTAAATATGATTAGTCATCAGTATGTACTTTTGTTTTATATAACAGAGTAATTGTCATACATTTTATTTTATCATTATTATTGTGAACCATGTTTGTTGTAAGTGGTTGTAACGAAACTACGAAATGAAATCATCTCGCGAAATTTACCGTTTAAATGTCTTATTCAAATTTATCAAAGGGACAAATAATGATGTTTTCCATAGTTAGTTTGTAAGGATTAAATTTGTTTTTACCAGATGATCATGGATTGATATCGGTTAGAGAACCATTGAAAACCAGCAAGGAGTACTGGATAGGTGTGTCATCCTAGTTTAGGAATCATCGGTAGTGCACATCCAATGCGTTTGGAGCCCAGGACAAGCTCGTATGCCATTCAGCCACTGGAACTGGATTCAATGGCCTATGAATTCTGTCTTCTCCCAGTTCGTGATTTAGCGCGACCACCAACTAATGTCATCGGTGGGATTTCCATTCTCATAATTGTCTGGATAGACCTAACTGGTCACGACTTCTCATTAGAACTCCAAGAAACTCCCCCTTGTAGCAAGCTAATAAACAACTTATTATAACAAGACATATAAGCGAACAATATTGTTTTCAATTAGATCTTCTTCAGGCTTTACTCTAATTTACATAGACTTGTATATAAAATTTTAACCAATGACGGTGATTTTGTGGATCAAATAATAATAATGTGGTAAATGTTTTGAACGAAGTTAATAACGATGATTATAATGACAACAAAATATTGATAATAAGGTATATACAGGTGATAAGAATAACAAAGATAGCATATGCATATATGTAGACAATTTAATAAATAAATAAATTAGGTCAAATCAAATGGAACGATAATCAAAGTTTAAATAAATATCATAAAAGTACGAAGGAGAGGGATGATAAGAAAGGGTGGGAGGGTTTTGAATAGAATTCACTTAGGCCAAGGGAGAGACAAAGGTAGAACAAATTTCTTTTGTATACAAAGACTAGGATTGTTCTCTCGAATTCCCACAGCTTCGGCTAAGTGTAAAAGACGGGTTCTGATTCCGTTCGAAAGACTTGATGGAATGCGGTAAATAACTTTGAAAGGACTGTTCTTGTCCACTTGGTGACCACTATCAATCAAATGAGCCAAAATAGAACTTCGTATGGATTTTATTTGACCTTTTCCGAACCATGAAGGAAGATGCTCATTAATGCGTTTGTTAAGCTGTCTAGTTGTTCGGCCTATATAGCTTTCTCCACAGGAGCAACCAAATTTATAGATACACATAGAAGTGGCACAGCTAGGTAGCTTATCTTTCACTTGAGCAATCCAAATTGGTCGGATGGAAAATGACAAACAGAGGGTGGCGGCAGTATAAGTCCGTTTTATAAATGGGAATATTTAAAGATTTGAAACTTATTACAAGTTGTACAATTTCAGCACAGTGGTTGTGCATAATTAAATGCCTACATAATAAGATTATTTTATTCGAAGACAATTTTCCGTATCTTTGTGACGGGTTTTATTCCATGCCTATTACTCGTGTTGAACGCTGATTGGATGAATAAAACTTCAGTGTTTAATCTCTCTACCTCCTCTGAAATAAATCTGTCACCCTGTCCAACTTTATCATAACATACATGAAATTGGTTATCAGATAGACTTCTTTAATATGAAATTACAGTAATGACATACGTAAAAATCTCAGCGAAAGTGAAATAAGTAATTCCAAAGTTTCGTTTGACAAACTGGATCAAAACTTCTTTAGTGAAATTGATCAAAATCAACATAACAGAGGTTTATGTTTAGAAAGGACGTTTCTTATTTTTTTTAAATTGTTTAGTTCATTCATATGAGTCATGAATCAGACACTAAAATATAGTAATCAAAGTTGTATGAAGTGTGATCAGAATTTGACCTCAGACTTACAAATATTAGTCCACTTCTGCTAAACACTGTAAACGGTTTGTACTTTTTCATCCGATTTTTAGTGATTACGTTAGGCTAAAGTTCATGATCGTAACATTTTTCTGGTTTCAGCCTTCACTTTATCCAATGTCGCCCTTAACTTTGTCATGTTAACTTTTTCAAAGGGTCGACATTAAAGTGATCAATAGGTTTCTTCCATAATCTACGGAGATCATAACAACCGTGGTATTGCTGCTAACTTCTCTTATAATGACCATCGATCTATCTCTCTGTGTGGTGGTAGGTTTAATGCCGGTTACTCGTCTTTGCTCATATTCGGCGTATTTGGCTTCTGATTTCGTAGTAGAGATGTAATTTTGTGTCTTATGACGTTTTCCCTTTTCGGATGTCACACAGTTTAACGACGGTTCAATGGCTGGAACTATTTCGAAGGCCAATAAACGTCTTTTGTTTTAAACTAAAATTGAGTCCCTTTTTAAAGAGGGGAAGTTCACAATCAAATAAATTTCTGCCAGAGAGATTAACCACCACTTTGTTCGTGTGTAGAATGTTATGACTCGGTGTATTTTCAGAATGGTGTTTAGGATTACAGTTTAATTGAATCTTTTTGATTTGTCTTCCTTTGAATATTGAAGATAAAATTCTTCTCATTTACCTGGTTTATTTTGTTAATGAGAGCCTTAAATTTTGGTGTGACTAGGGCTGATAAGATTTCATCAATATTGGAAACTCACATTCAGAATGATTCCGTACTTTTGGTTGCTGCATGAATGGATTCTTGTATAAATGTTGTAGTTGCAGAAAAAGCGACTTGAACCGTTAATGCTTCAGCTACGCACAGAAGTCATGGTCTCACTCCCTTTCATTGATTTCATCCGAACTCGTATAGGACTTTCCCAATAGAGTTGAGTGTTATGAGGTCACCACTGTGGTAGGGTACTATGTTATCATGAAGAAGATTTATTTGATAAAGCCTCACAGTAATACTTACTGATGATGTTTTGAACACAATACAATGCTCATCAGCATATCAAGATACTCACAAAACTTTCCAGCCTCGTTTATATAATTCCATTAGATTTCAGTTTGATTGGCAGTAATGCGACAAATATCAGAGATATGGAAAATATTAGTGTCAATCGTGTACACACACACAAATAATTATATATAACTGCGATTGTACAGCCATGTGAATGTATTCGACGCAAACAGTCCCTTCGCTGGACGTCTTCTCTTTTTCATATGACTTAATGGGAATTTTTAATCTACTTAATTCAATAGATGAATAAGTTGATATGATTATGAGGAATAAATTGTGTTCGAGACATCATCAATCAATATTACAGGATAACTCTTTGAGACGTCATCAAATAAGTTTCGTTCATGCAACAAAGATTAATCAAGCAATCCTGCTTCACTAACTTTTGTTGTTTCTTTTCAATTCGTGTCAGGAAATAAATGCTTCCAAGTTTTCTTCATGCTAGAATTATGATGTCCGACAAAGGCCAAGTTTTATTCTTATATTATTCGTAGACCAACATTTGGTGAACTCAGTACACTTAATTCTATTTCGAAAATCTAAGAAGATTCTTTTTAGAATTACTAATTACTCCAGCTAAAACTTTCAGGGTTTTCGACTGTGACTGTAATAACTGTACTGAGTTAATCAACAAAATCCAAGTTAGTGATGTATGCTATCGTGCTAAATAAGTATGGAACATGCATGCGAAATGGAATAATTTACGACAATAAATAATACTAGCAGCAGAAATAATGGATATATATACATGGTCTGCATGAAATGTTAACTATCCAGTATTTCCTCATGAAACTTAACCAGGGCTTTGATGAGGTAATGACTCACCAGTTGGACAGCCTTTATATTAAACAGTTCACACAAATACTAAACATAATTGGATTATCATATCAAGCTCAGTTTAACAAATTAATTGCATCGAATTTATTGTTTATTGGGTGGTGACTAATAGTGGAATCTAGAATACACATTTTGTCATATTTGGGAATCATCACCTGTACCCCCCGCCCCCGTGAGTTACAGTGATGCTATTTAGACTTGATCTCTGCACACATCTTTTCAAATGCCGAAGTATCATTCTCTAGACCACTTGGGTCACAAAAACCACGTCTTGCACAGGGAATATCAATTATTACATGCCTAAATTAAGAAGTGGACATATTAACAAAGACCTAACAATTCCGTCCATTATAATTAATCAACCATCAACACTGTATGAAATTAAACAAAGACAACCGCTTCAAAGTAGAGAGTTTAATCCACCATCTTCATCGTTTGTTGTGATTGTTTTTCCTAAATTTAACTATTACAAATTATTTAACTGTAGGTGGTGATATTGGAATATATGTACGAAGATCCGGTAATCGACGTATTCGCATACATAGAGGAGTTGGACTTTGGGGGCGACGAAGATGTATGATTCGAGGAGGTATTCGACTGGGGTGTTGCAGACGTTGTGTACGTGTTCGGCGGTGTTCCTGCTGTCCTATTTGTTGAATCACATTAAATTTCTAATATAATCGAATGAAATTTCAATTGAATAATAACTAATTTTCTTCTCCTAATGCAAGGTCTTTAACTGTTTATTCTGATTATTTACTTCTTCTTCTTATTTAATGTTAAATTGGTTTAAAATGTTTTGAAATAAATTGAATATCTTGTTGTTGGTTTGGTTGCAAGTTCTTTGATATTTATCGGTGCTGGAATAGGTTGTAAAGTACTCGAATGTTTTCAACCTCGCGGGGCATTATTTCCAGCTAATACTTCTGCAAAATATTCATATTTGTATGCTAACAGTCGCTAGCCATTTTGAAGATCTGTACAAATATAATGGAGTAAGCATTCATCTGGAAACATTGAGCAAGTGAATACATATTTTTTTTAATCATATAGCCTAGTTTGTCATCGATAGGTTTGTAAGTGTAATCGGTATTAGAGTAGGCGAAATAACTTTGCGTTATTTGATATCTGCAAAACTATCCTAACTGAAATTACACAAAACTAAGTAACTACTTTAGAAAGTCTCCTAGGTGACTAGTGGGTCAAGCAACCAAACTTAAACAAGACACACATTAAATAAATCAATTTTTTTAAATAATATAGTGGACAAAGTGCTTGATGTAAATAACAATTTAATGGGGAGTATGGAAAACATTCGCAATTTCGAAAATCAAAATGAAAGATTAGGCTGACCTAGTGAACGAATTTGAGATATTTCAATTAGGGCTGCCTACTGTTTATTCGCGCCTTCGAAACTTCCATAACTCAACACGTTTCAGATTAACATTTTTTGACTTGATGGGTTGACCCCCTATTCTAGCCTGGAAAACTTTAATTAACTTTCAGCCATTTGATAATTTATCTATTGATGCTTAGGGAATGATGAGTTTTGTCATCGTGTATAGCTTATGTGGTTATGATACCCTGCATTGTGGATTCAACTGTTCAATCAATAAATCAGATATATGAGAAGATAAGAACATATAGTTCAGCGAAATGTCTGTTTTAGGAAAGTATATCCATTTGATATTTATGTGCAGTTATTTTGTTGAACATGTAGAAGGCATTGATACATTGAAGCAGTTTACCGGCTGTCGTTATCTAGGATTCTTAATAAGGCTGGAATTAGGGTGGTATTTAAACAAATCAGTTAACTGAGGAACAAACTATGTCGACCTGAAGACCCGTTAGATCTAATAACAGAAAATAATATAATTTACCAAGCATTGTGTAATAAGTGTAAAATCAACTACACAGGTCGAAGTAGCATTAGATTGAATAAAGCTAGAAAGACAGTTTGTGAAGAATAATGTAGTACCATCACTTATCTCGCTGGCTTGTCATCATCTGCTTACGGCTTAAATAACATATTAAGTTTATCTACAAAACAGTTTCAACATACCTGCAAATTTTACAATGATATCAATTAACAGAAGGTTCCAAACTTGTATTGAGAGGAAGGAAAGGAAGGCACACCTACGATTTCTTGAACATGTACAAGAAAGTCTAGGTTTCAAGAGAACAAACACTTACATTAATGCCATTTCCAGGTATCTCCTTGATACTGATCATGAAGTGGAAATCGCGAAATCCTTTAAAATTACCACTTGGCAACAAAGCTCAATGCCCCTCAAGTTTGCCGAAGCAATCTCCATCAAACACATGAAACCATATTAATTTTTTCAGCAAGAAGCAACGATTAGTCCATTCTTGACGTCGTAGCTGGGTGCCTTTACTATCTCTTTCTTTCGATTACATAGTCTTTAGCTTTAACAACACTCCGTTTGATTAAGTGTAATTTTGCTTGTCTATTGTTCATATGATTTCAGTTGAATTCAGTACAATGTTACCCGACCATTTAGTTACTCACCATCCTACTCATCTCTTGTCTTTATTACGTAACTTCCTTAACATTTGTATGCTTACAATGATTTTGTTCAGACTTGAACTTTCTTTTTAAAAACTATATAAATGTAATTTTCTGAGTACTGTTCACTAAGTGTGAGATCTTCCATCAACTGACATCATGTAAAATTAGCAAGTATGATGAAGCTTTTCTGTAGATAAATTTAATCATTTATTTAGCCTGCAAGCAGATGATGAGAGGGTAAACATCTTTTTCTGCACAAACGGCTGTTTTTGCTTTATTCAAATTCATAAAGGGGAACAAATATATGTAGTATTAGATTGACGGAAAGTAGGAATTCAGATAGACTTGGAACAGCTTACTCTCCAACGTTAAGGAATCTGGAAAAAAGTAGCAAGTGCAGTGCATTTACTAGTGTGTACAATAACACCTTAGGGTGAGACAAGGTGAAAGGATCAAAAAGTAATAAACAGCTAGATGAACAGAGGTTAATCGCCGAATCTTTATTTACCCAGTCAACAGCAAACACATGTTATCGAATTGGCTAATCGCCTATACCTGTTATATGAAAAGTCGCAATGAATAGTAAGGCAAAGAGGAAAAATATATGAGACAAATTATGAAGGTATTTGAATAAACCGCTATGATTATTAGCAGCAGTGAATTGCTCTTGAAATTTCATCCAGTTATTAATACTATCAGAAAACATTAAAATAGTATTTTCATCACATGATAATGAATGCTAAAGGATACAATATTGATCCAAATGTAATCAGAAACTGAAAAAAGTTTCATGATATTGAGTTACTAGTTGCGTAATATGATGAAATATTTGAAAAATGATATGCGGTCTCCAGGTTCACAAAAGTCTAGAAAAGAAGATATCATGTATGTGAAGAATATAATGAAGAAACCGAATGGTTTAGAATGATAACATTAGTCATAATAATAAGAATAATACCGACTTGAAACATAAATATTACTGAAGACATTAAAACCTCATGTTAGAACCACGATAGAACAAGCTTCTTGAGCGTATATATGTATGAATTGTTCATGTGAATAGCTGGAGTTTCAGTATTGTGAGGAATAAAAAGGAGTACCACCTTCAAAAGAAATAGTTTATTTCCAAGATTTAGTCGTCAGTTTTAACAAGATACTCAGTTGTCATACCCTTCATTGATCCGTTGTTATATATTTCAAACTGTATATGGTAGTATTTCTTAGCACCAATGGATACAGCTTGCACCTAAATATCTGTGGCAGTTGATTCATATAACCAAAAAATCGGTAGGGTGAACATAAATACGATGGATTGTGAGAGTTCATCATTCAAGGGTTTGGGTGAACAGAGATAACTAATCTCATAACTGAATCGAAGATTATTGAGTTGATAAGATTTAAATTGGAGCGTCGACAAGGGAATTTTACTTTCACTTACAGTGTCCCTATCCATATGGAGGTAAAGGTCTTTATGTAAGATTTATACCCAATATCTAAATCTGTTCAGAGCTGAGAATGCCTTTTTTCAATTAAGACATTTACTATACGTAAGACAAACGACTTCAGCCGACAAATACGATCTCCATATTCATTAATAATAATGCAACTATCTTACTTTTCGATTCATGGACATCCGAAGATGAAAGTGTATCAGTTAACCATTACCTATTGTATTTCTGAACGAATAGTCTCGTTAAAGTTCTGCTGGTCTTCACTGTGAATTCATAATCTGTTTTCTATCTGAAGGGTAAATTCCGTTGACGGATAAGTACTCTGAAAAGTATGATACCAGCAACATTTATTGTCTAAGTTATTGTATCTACAGAAGATGCATTCAGAGATATAAGCGGATTCGTATATGTTTCGAAGCTATTGTATGGACTAAAGGTAACATTATGTAATAATTAATATTCAGTGACGTTTAAACCAAAAGAAAATTTTCCATGAAAGTTAATTTTTGAACGTGTGCATTCGTTCACAACTATAAACACAGGATTTTACAAACTACAGAAATGGAAGCGGAAGCTTGTTCGTTGAACTGCATCCAAGTGGTAGGATGCTATATGTGTTTTTCTCGATAATCACAGGTTCTAGCTTAAATACTTTGGAGAGTCATGCTTGAGAACTGCTGGATTTCTTAGGACTAATGCTAATTAACGTTTCAGTACTCCTTATTTTCAGTGAAATATGATTGATTTTATGGCGAGTATAAATCTTTATTAAGTGTTATCAAATGCGGAGAGCTTAAACAAAAAAACCTTTTTAAATTTTAATCAAACCGAAATATCAGGAGAGCAAACAAATACCAAATAACCCAAACATTTTAGTGGAATTGATATTTTCGCGTCTTTCGGTGTTCATCCCTTAAGTCGGTGGATCATTCGTATAACAACAGCTTCATTTCTTGTCTGTGCTGTTTATCAGACTACTAGTTTCATAAGCATCGATATCACGGATATTATCAGTGATGGATCACTCACATATATTGGGATTTGCTGCAAGACACCCATACTGCTTATTGACTGATTTGACTAGCTGGATTCCACTCACACTAACCAGTAGTGCATGCTAGCCGAATCGAAGTGATTCAAACACCACCCAGTCGTTTTGCTCATTACACACCCAGATCATCAGTAGTGTACCCAGGTTTGGCCCAGCTGAGAAACCCGAATCAATTTAAATCAACAAGACTATGTCTGCCTACCTAAACTTCTTGTGATGTTAATAGTTTTGTATCCCAAAGCAGACTCTAATTGAGTTTCACGCCGAACTGTTTAAATTGGAAATTGACAGTTTGATTCAGTTTATCATCCACGTAGAAATCCCTGTCATTGATTAAAATTCCATCATCAAATTGTGCACTGTGACCTGAGGAAGATATGTCTGAAAACAGGTACTGCTGGCTTCGACGTTTTTTTCTCTGTGTGAGTGTGTGTCTTTGTGTATGTCTGCGTGTGTGTTTGAGTAAGCACAGACAATAGAGACAACAGCCATCTCAGACAAGAAATGAAGCTGTTGCTTTTTTCGAATGTACAGCCAACTCAAGGGATAAACACAGAAATACGCGAAAATATCAATCCCACTAAAATGTTTGGCTTTGTTATTGACCATCGATCATTAGTGATGCAGTAATGAGAGGCAATAAAATGCTGTTTTGTTCAGGATTACATCTCTCTTGTGTATCTCACTGTTTACGGAATGACTGATATCATGGAGATAACGTTAAGAAGCGAGCAAATTACTATTCGGTTACTAGGTTGTAATGTATGTTCTCTTAAATTTTAATAAAATATAATACACGCTATAAGTATAAAACTTGGGCACTGTGGTAGAGTATAATTCCATTATAGATAAGATTTTATTCTGATAAATCGCACAGTGTTTACAGTTATCTATAATGGAATATAATACACGCATTGGTCACATTGTGCCTTGTAAATATGATTGTTAAATTGTGTCATACTCTTATCACTGTTATATACCTTTGGGTTCCCAATGGAACACAGGGCTTCAACAGGACACCACAATTTCATCTTGTTTTCTGAAGTCGTTCTGAGTTGTCTCCTTTATTCCCCATGAGACTATATCTCCTCCTTGAACACACGACTATTCACTTCCCATCAGGTTCCACTCAAGTGATGGCCTGGATCACAATATTATTTACTCGTCTTCTTAGCGTGTGTCTAATCCATCCTAATTTCCTTCGACATATTTGTTGAGGAATAATTTGTTGACAGGTTCACACTTAGAGCTCCTTATCGTGAGTTCTTTCTCGTTGGCCATCTTATTTTTTGTATAGAGCCAGTGTAGATACCTATTGATGAATTCTGTAACAGGCTGTTAGAAAAGCTTTCCGGGAAACGCCAAGATTATGACCCAGTCACTACACAAACTACAAAACACAACAAAAGTCCTGCGTTTTGTTTAATTCTGTTTAAATTAAGTATACCCGATACGATGTTGTGATTATGTGCTAAAATGCATCATTCCACTTACGAATTCAAGTCAAAATATCGATGATCAATGTACATGGAAACCACTGGAACAAAATAGTAGTGCTCACCAGACAGATCACGGTAGCATGAATACCGGACAGTAATTTCACGCATTTGGTAAAATACTGATAAGAAGTTTATCAAGAGTGACTCAAGTGATACAGTCGAACCATATGAATGTATGCTTTTCCGATGGAATGTGTGACATCAGACTGATCACATATTACGACCTAAATAGTTTAGGTTTACCAAATAAATAATGGTGGAATTGCAACTGAACCGTGAACTCTGAAACTCAACAACTGCATAAATTTGAAATCTATTAAAAGATAAATTTGTATTCAGCTTGTCAGAAATACTAACGACTTCCGGATTTCAGTTTCATGGTGAAATCTTCCACACTGTGATAAATCTCAACTCTCTAGGATATCAATAACTAATATATGGCTGAACATATTGTGGCCAGACATTTCAATAGTTCATAATGAATGAATAAACCTGAGTACCAGAAGTGCTGATTAATTGAAGACCGACCAGGAAAATGATAATTTCTTCTTCGTCTCGTTGTGTATTATCAACATTTATCGCATATATTATAATAATATTATTATTGTTTCCTCTAGAGGAACATAGGTCTTCAGCCGCATGCTTTCATTGCTTTCGGTTCTCCACCATCGTCTGCCCACATGTTTTATCTCCTCCTTGCATCACCTCTTTCATGTAAACTTCGCATTGATGACCAACTCGCCTGCATACTATTTGGGGTGCACTCGAGCGGTGGTGATGTCACTCACTTGACTATTTGTTTTCTAAGTGTATGATTAGTCCACCTTCATTTCTTCCTCCATATTTGTTGCACATTCGGTTCCTGCTGGGTTGGTTTACTCACTGGCAGAGATCCCTGTTGCTGATCTTTTCTGGCCAGCCTTCTGATCTTGAGTAGCAGTTAGCGAGGATAGTTGATGGTGAAAGTCTATCGTTTGTCCCAAATGCCCTTCGTGACATGTCAGCAAGTCTCTGTTCCTTTAAGTAGAGCTGACTTCACATTAAAGTTGAAAATCCACGTCTTATTTTTCATATTGAGTGCTGTTGACTCCCACACAGATTTGAGATACGTGACAGGATTTCTTGCTTTCCCGATCTTCACTCTGATATTCTCATCAGTTCTGTCTGCCTGTTGGTAAAACGATACTTCCCAGATAGGTAGATAAAGGAGGTGATTTCTTTCAGGTTTCTCCTACTTATGCTGACTGTTGTCTGTTGTTGTAGTTGTTGCTGTTGGCCAGGGGTCTTCATCACCTCTGTTCTGTCAGGCTAATAAAAGTTCAATGTAGCGACGTGATCTTTATTTGAATAACAGAATAAAAATTTGCGTTCTGTGCTGCGTTTCAGGTGATCGAAAAGTAGATACGTTAATTTATTCTAAGCGTTGTCATTTTTCCTGCATGGAGGAAATATGTTAAACTTTTGTACTAAACTCAGACAGTCATCTTATGAACTGCCACTGTTTGACACAAATAAAATTCCTGACTGTTTAGATAAATTCGGTCAGTCATTCAAACGAATATTCAATTTTTCTCAATGTTGATACATATGATTCAGCAAGCTATCGTCAACTGATACATGTGATCCAACCGAATTCAGACTATTGTTTTTAGTCTTTGTTTGTTTTGTAATTTTGAAAGTCATATTGTGTATTTTTAGAGTTATGTCATAATACTAATGACTGAAAAGTCCAGTAATACGTACACACAGATATATACACGAAGTTTTCAATATGACAAAACCTCCTTACTCAGTAATAAATACTTCTTTGACATTCAGAGTATTTCTGATCATTTGATCAATATTAAGAGAAAAAATAGCATGTAGACACCTAGGGAAATGACTGAATTCATAGGTGTCATTGTCACTGTAAGAAATGACACAAATCTTTTGACATAAAATCCCATGCTGTTGACATTTGAAATAGACTAGAATTTAGTATATATAGTCAGTTACTTTACTAAACTCTATCAACTACTACACAACAACTAACTGTCAAATAATGATAACATCTAAGGTAAGTTAGTGTTTGTCTGGTTGATCTTCAACTCTGTTTCTCTCTTTCATTTTAATTCTCTGCAGATTATTCATCTATTCATCTTGGTATCTATCACTGTTCATATTGTAGTCTGCGCTAAAGGAGGTAACTTCTATAAGCATCTTTATTAATGAGTTTGTGATAACTATTTCATTCATATCTTTGTAATGTACAATTTTTTTACAAACAGTGTGAATAGCCTTCATGAAATCCACGAAAAGCTTATAAGCTATGATCGAAAAACTCAAAGCATATCAAAAAATGACAGATTAGTTGATAACTTCTTTCATAGCATCTGTGGAACTGCTAAAGGTTTATACTGAGTAATTACTGAATTAGAACGTCTCACGTTAACCTGTACATAACACGTAGATTAATTTTACGTTGTATCTATACAAAGCTGAAAGAAAGACACACAAGAAGATGTGAAGTTCAAAGTATTGCATTGTAGATATCTACTATTATATCTCATCGTTTTTTGGGGCGAAGATGGGTAATGCTGATGCTTTCCACTTCCGGAAACCTGACTAAACGAGGTTTAAGTTTCTCTAAAGCATACACCTTTTTGTGTGTAGAACATTTTCCTATTATTACGATTATTGTACCCATGAATGCCGAGTGGAGAGTTTTTCTTCAGCAACATATCTCCACTTCACTGTTCTCTATAGTTCTCTTTTAAACTAGTTCTACGATTGCCTGTGACCTTTTTCCTTCAACTCCACGTCACCCTAGGACGATTTACTCGTCTTCTCCCATTCGGATTCCATTGTAGGTTACTCAAAAGTCTTCTCAGCGTGTACATTTCCATTTGTTCTTCACTGATTCCTTAATAGAGGTCCTTGTTGCTTATTCTTCTTGACCAACTGTCTCATCTTCAGTATCCGAAGAAGGTCTGCAGTGGACTGTTGGAAATGCATTTCGTGAAGCGCTTTCCAAATCTGTGAACTAAATAGTCGAAATGACTTGACATTAGTTTTGGAAATGTGAATCCTGTTTACGCTGAGTGAAGATGATTTCTACACTGACTTCAGATTAAATGAAGGTATGTCCTATATTTCCGTTCCGACCACACCCACCTTTAACATTTTTACCTGTACCGACTGCCTGTAGCTGAAATGATACCGTCTAGATGAGTGGAAGTATTGGCCTCCTTCAAATTTCATCCGTTGATACTGATTGGTACTTTTTGTTGTTATTGTTGTTGTTGCTGTCTCATAACTTTATTGAGTTTGACTTCTCTGTGTTTCTTCGCTACTTTTTCTGTCAACTTGTAAAATATTTTCACATTTCCATGAATACTCTTTTTTTAAGTTTAAGAGAAATATTATGTTCACTCTTTATTTATTTCTTTTGTTGAACAAACAGGAAATGAAACTAAAAAAGATGCACCAAAGAAAAAGTACGTCTATACAGGTATGAATCCACGGCAGATATACTTTTCAACTAAAATAATAATAATAATAATATTTCTTACAAATAATAGATTGGAGTGATTGGGAAACAGCCTATGAATATGAAGCAGAACAAGAAGCACGTAAAAAAGCCGTTAAAGCCGGTAAAGGTGGAAAGGGTGTAACTGATGATTCAGGTAAGTTTAACTGCAAATTCTTCTTTATCTTCTCTTATTCTAACTCTATAAATGATATATTATTCACTTCCTGCTGCCTATTTAATTCTATTATTTAACAACAGAATGGGAGATTGTAACAGAAATTGTGACGGAGATTATTAAACCAAAACGTAAAGAGAGTAAGTTCTGGTTTTGAGGAGTAAAAAGTAATCATAGAAATGTAAAATATGATTTTATACCTAAGGCTACATTATTTCACCGCATTATGAACAGTTTTAACTGATCAAGTTATTCAGTCATGCTAACTCTGGCCAAATTTTTATTCTGTGATAATATCATTTACCCTGATCTGCTGTGATTAACCTCGCAGTCATTGTATAGCTTTTATTAATTTATAGTATTATTTTTCTTAATTGGATCCGTTGGGTGGTTAAACTGACAACGGTTGATTTCATAAATTGACATTAATTGCCAAAATCATTCAAACTGGACAGTACACAACAATGAATAAGAGAGATCTTATTTGCTTTAGAGGTCCGTAATTAGCAGCATAAAGTCAAGCAAGTTGTTCAAAGGTACATAAGTTTGAAACAAAACAGTTTCTTCCATTAATCACCAAGTGAAAACATGAAAATTATATATCAAAGGAATTTGTGAGAATAAATTCCACAATAACTATATGTAAACTATCGTTATTGTTTATTATTCTCTCGGGTTCCGTTTGAAACATAGGGTTTCAACAGCACGTATCCAGTTTTACTCTGTTTTCTGTAGTCTTTTTTGCTTGTCTCCACGATCGCCGATAAAGTTTCATTTCACCTTCAAACCAGTTTCTCCATGAAACCCACGAAATCATGCCGAACTCATCGTCTCCCATTTGTAGTTCCGATAAATGGTCTTTCCGGAGTATATCCGATCTATCTCTATTTCCTTCTGCATGTTTGTTGAATGACTGGTCATTAGTTGGTTTTCGATGACAATGTTCCGTACTGGTTATGCTTTCTGTTTGCTGGTCTGATTTTCATTATGAAGCGAAGGCATTTTTTGACAATTGACGAAAAACACTAAGGTTAGGCCTATGGGATTCTTCAGTGACGGAAAACATTTGTTGAGTAAAAGAGTTTTATTGCTTGAAATGTATGCACATAGTAGTGAGCATAACAGAATTCAGAAAATTAACCACATACTGATCTGATATTTGTGGACAATCACAAATGAAACACCGGTTTTTGATAATATTATTTCCAATTAAAAATGATTACAGAGCTGAGGAGCTCTAAAGCTATCTCAAAGATGTATTTGTTCCAAGTTGTTAAATGGATAAGCTAGAAAGATCTGACCATAGTTATCTATTATAATTATTGATAACGCTGACTGACCGTTCTGCTTAAACCAGTAGTTTCTCCTGAGCTTTTATTAGGCGTCAGAATATCTGTTAGACTAACCAACTAACTCAAGATATTTTACTCCAGAAACACTGGTTGAAACAGAAGAAGGAGACGAAAAAAGGTGGGAAACGTTGAAATGAAACTGATAGGCCTCAAAGAAACCCAATCATAAGCTTTGGGTTAGACATATTAGTGCACTCAACTTATTTGAACACCAATACTACAACTTTTAACTGTGACACTATTACATGTAAAGAAACAAGATGACTGAGATCATATAAATGTTGTTAAGATCTCAGGAACATTATATAAATCAGCTGAATGAAATTTTTGTTATTTAAGTGTTGGTTTGTAGGGATTTGGTTGGTTTCAGGATTTCGTCAAGAGCTGGCATTAGTTAGAGAACTATTGGAAAACCTGGGAGTACTGGACAACTGTTTCGTCCTAGTTTGGGACTCTTCACCAGTACGCACCCACCGGGATTCGAACCCAGGACTTTCCGATTACAAGGCGAGCTCGTATACCATTTAGCCACTGGGACCCGATCCAATGGTCCTTGAATTCTAACTTCTGCCCATTCACGACATAGCGCGACCGCTAGCCAATGTCTTCGGCGAGTATTTGTCCTCACACCCGACCAGCTGCACCCTACTGGTCACGACTTCCCACTGGAACCCAGGTAACTATCTACCTGAATAGGGCCAGTCGCCAGTGAGCATCTCATTGAGATTTAAGTGTTGGTTTGTTGTTAAGTAATTTTCATCATTCAAGATAGCAGGACCAAGTGCAGTTTAGTCAGTGTGATGGAGACACTCACAGGGTTCAAAGTCAAAAAAGTGTACAATACTGAAGCGTTCCCTGGATAATTCATACTAAAAGTGGAATCATAAAATATAGTATCAAATAGCACACTAATTATGACTCGTTTCTAATTTTTTAGAGACCGTTGAAGAAACTACGAAGGAAGAAATTAAAACAGGTCCAAAGAAGAAGACGGAAATAGGTAACGGTATATATATAGATGCACCAAAAATTGAGTCACATGAGGAAAGAGGCTGTAAATGCTACTGGTTTGGTAGTCAAATTTAAATGATCTGGGATTTCACTACAGATAGGGAAAGATGGTTGCACGTCAGATATTTTCAACTATACATAAGCTAAATTTATATCCAGAAGTTGTTTCCAACACGAACTTATTTATTCATCAAAACGGTTTTTAAATGAAACGCTCAGAAATTGGTTTCACTTAATGAAGTATGATGAGGATCAGGTTGAGGAATTTTCGCACAAGAATGAATGAGAAAAATACTTTTCTTTCCTAGACGCTTATCATCGCCATCATATTTTGCGGTTTGATTAAAGCGTATGACAACTACTTTACAATTTTTATTTGTACATTGATGTCACAAACTAGCAATTATTTCTACTGGGCTTTAAGTTGCGGGCGAATACAAACCTCTAAAACATTAAATGTACATTTCTGTGGAAAGAATTTTCAACGAGTTTCGTTTTATAATGCTACTGAGGTGGTTTTTACTACATTTGTATTTTATTTCCATTCCATACAGAAACCATAGAAGAAACAACCACAAAAAGAGATGGAAAGATTCCAAGGAAAGTGACAGAAACAGGTAATAACGCATTTTAGATTAATGATTATTTGGATTCTTTTAATGTTATGATATGGTGGTTTCTAGCTGCTCTCCATTAAATATGATTTGTTTCCATATTACTTCAAATGTAACTTTTGACTGTATGTTTGCATGATATAAGGACACTCTTGATCTATACTGTACTCAGAAGCGGATTCATAATAGACTGAGTATTGTAAATTTTACGATACTTGAGATTATCAGAGTGTACTTCAATCATAGATTAGAGGATAGGGACTGAGACTTCCTGTAGATCATAGTCAGGCTTTTCTGTTTCATCATGTTCCGTTACTGAATAAGGCCAAGTGGTTTTACAAAAAAACTATTGGTTGACATTCTTTTCTCACAGAAACTATTGAAGAAATAACAAAGAAGGACGGTGGAGTTGTACCTAAGAAACGAACAGAAATTGGTAAGGAAACGTATTTTTTCAAGTATGTTCCTCTAATTAACTAAAATCTAATTTCCTCGAAACTGTCGATAATTCACTTTCACAATTTATGAGTGTCCTATTTACTTTCCTTTATCTTTTGATGTCTTTTAGACTAGTGTGTGGGCTGAATAAGTTGTTACATGTGGAAATTAAAAGAATCACTCAACAGGACTGTGGAAAGATGTTTATGTGGCATACAAGAAATGTGCTCCGATTTTGTAAATACTACTAAGCACTTCCTTGCTTCAAAACTACTTTTCAGTATTTAACATCAGTAAATCAGAGAGAGAGAGAAAGAGAGAGAAGGGACTAATTACAGGTTCGATTATGAGCTGAAGTCAGTCAGGGAAATACTGGAAAACTATCAGGAAGTGCCGGACAGCTACTTAGCCTTAGTTTGGAACCCTTCACTAGTGCTCTTCCAACTAGATCCGAACCAAGGAGTTTCGGTCGATTCATAGCATATTTAGCACGGGAGTCTCTAACTAGGACGAAAAAGCTGATGGTCCTCCAAGTGATGTCAGTTTGCTATTAACCCCCTGGTAGAAGACTAATTAGTTTACAGAAAAGTTACTAAACCAATTCTAAAGCATTTTTACCACAGACAAGATTATACTCTAAAGGAGACTGCGACTGAAATATTCATCGATAGATGCATAATTTCTCTGTTTTACTCCTACAGAAACGATTGAAGAAACTACTAGGAAGGGAGGATTACCTATTCCAAAGAAAAGGACAGAAATAGGTAGAGGCAATACGTTTTCATGTGGTTTTTATTTATTCCACACATCAAATTTGATAATTCTATTAGAATTAGCTGTATAACCAAATAGTAGAATTCTGGGTTATCGAAAAACAGAATTTAAATAGATGATAAATCAACGAAGTTCTACGTATTTTATGTGCGTATAACTTTAGTTACATGGTTAAGATTCTAAGTGCTTCTGATATTTTCTCCATATTCACTAAATTGCCTATGAATTCAGATAAACACAGTGATAAATGCTTTTTCTTATGAAGACATAAACTACTTCTAATTGAATTTTAGATTTTCCAATCGATTGATTAGACCTAAGTGCTCGGTCTTAGGTTGACATGTCGGCTTCTTGTGCAGATGCTTCGACGATGTCTGGGCATTTTTAATCAGTATTTAGTTGGTGGATGGTGAGTAGCAGTGAGACAGAACACTTCGGTCCAATCAATCGACGGGAAAATTTAAAATAAAATTAAACTAATATATGACCCGTTGCACAAGAGGTGGCTCTCGTGACCCAAGTGGTCTAGTGGATAACGCTTTGGCGTTTGAAACTATGGGAACTGGGTTCGAGCCTCAGTGGGAACATCATCACTCATTCACTGAGAAATGCAGGTACATCCAGCTGACGAGTCCCAAATAGGACGAAATGTGCATCCTGGATTCCACTGCTAGCCACCATCCACCAATTATAAACTACTTCTGTTTTAAAAAGTACTCTGTGTACAAAAGTAATTAATGTGTCTAGATGCATGTTGAATAAAACTAAAACAGGGATCTTGGATAGAATTACGTAAATCAGGACACTATCAGTAGAAGCAAAAGACTTGATGACTTAGCTTTGATAAAGAAATCAGATTTGAGAAGCTTTTATGAATAGAGTACTGAAGGTAAAACACTGTTATACAACTTAGTGTGACCAGAAAATGTTGATAAATTCTATCCATGATCTCTTTTTCACAGAAACAATTGAAGAGACTACAAGAAGAGAGGGTGGACCTGTTCCTAAGAATAGAACGGAAATTGGTAAGGACAAAACTTCTAATAAATACTTGTGGCAATTAAATTGTTAATTTTAAGGAATGCATTACAAAATGAATGTGATGTTTGACGAATTATTCACTCAGAAATGATCCTCAGCTATAAATATTTCAAGCTTTATGTCAAGATAGTTTGATTTACTGAGTAAATTTAATGAAGCATTTTGAGGTTGTATATTTCTTAACGCGTTTAAAGTGTCAGGGGTACAATTAATAGAGAGTCTATGAGGAAGGCAAAGAACACTATCTTCTTCTATGTATTTCACAGAGGCTTAAAACACATTACCATATTTTCACTCTATTTTCTAACCATCTTCATAGAAACAATTGAAGAGATAACGAGGAGAAAGGCTGGAAAGGATCCGAAGAAGCGAACAGAAATAGGTGAGTGGCGGCATTACCCAGTTTCATTGTGTTTTAATTCCTTGACGTCACTACTTAACCTTCATTTTTACTCTGCCGAATATTCCATTGGACAACAGAAAGGACAATTTAACATTTTATGACACTTGCATTGGATTCTTTGCATTAAAGAAAGGCATTTAACAGTGCCTGTTTGAAACAGATCTTCAGCTTTCAGTTGTAACTAAAATTGAGAAAAGGAAGTAAATGGTTAAGAATAGTCAAGCTATGCGCTTAATTGTTTGATCCTATTTATCTGATGATCGAGATGGTATAATTCAATTACAAATGTGTTCTTTCACAATTTTATTACCACAGAAACTATTGAAGAAACAACGAGAAAAGAGGGTGGTACTGTTCCAAAGAAAAGAACAGAGATTGGTAAAGAAACTTGTTCTTATTTTATAACCGTTGTCATAACTTTTCCAAGCTAGTTGACACTGAGGTGCATAATCTCTTTTCTCTCTCCTGAAGAACAGAAAAATGTTGCTTGTAATTCTGACACACTGGTTTACCTAATGATAAGTATACCCTCAAAGGGCGATGACAATAATTTAGTTGTTTAGAATGCTAATAGATGTTTGTTGTTGAAAGTTTAGTCTACTTAGGGTGGCCTCAAATTCTCATACCAAAACAAATTTAAACTTCATAACTTAGAGTCCATGAAACTTCATATAAGGATAACTAACGATCTAACTACTAAAGTCCTACTGAATGAATTTAACAGCAAAATAAGAAGTGAAAGTGTCATCCAGGGGGACAATGAAAGTTTCCCAATTAAACCACTTGGCTCAGAGAATATGACGTCAAAACCATCTACCTGAAGCACAAACCGTCCCGATTCTTTTAAAGTGAATCCCAAGGCATTGTAAAGTATCTACACTATTACGTTGTGTGTATGTATGTGCTTTCACCTTGCCTGTTAACTTAATGCCTAATACCGGCCACCCCTGAAAATTATTACTGAATCTTATCTTGACTGTTTTTATTTGCCTTGCGATACATTCATCCTTCTCGATATCGTACAGATTTAGGATGAAAGTGTCATGCTAACTAAGCGTCTATAGTTTTATTGGTTATTTTTTCCCTTAGTAATGCTTATACTCTCGCTGGAGGCATACGTGTCTTATCAGACGTCATATACTAGAGAGTTCGTATAAAATTTCGAAGTTGCTGAAGATCAGGATATTTATGTAGTTAAAGCAGAATTTTTAAGTTGTTTCCTGTATTTTGAAGTGAATGTCGATGGATACTGCAGTATTTGAAAGTTAATCAAAGCCTCATTGTATCTTTCATTTTCCAACAAACGAATATTCACACCGTTTGCAGCTAATATTCAAGATTGAGTCCCTAATTTTCTCTTTAATGCATTAGAAAGAAGAATGAAACAAACGGGATGGAGGTATTGATTCCCCCTTTATAAGTTAGAACAACTGGTAGTTTACTTTTTCTTGACAAAGATGAAATATGTCTGTCACTAAACACCAACCAAAAACGTATTCATTAATTTTTCTTCTCACACTCATAACTTATAAAAGAAACCATAGAAGAAATAACTAAAAAAGGTGCAGGATTTATTCCAAAGAAGAGGACAGAAACAGGTAAGTAAGGAGAACATTTTTTTGTATGGTAAATTCATCTATCACAGAAGTTGACTTATGAAAAATATGAAAAAATTAGGTGTTATCATTAATTTCGTACAGGCAAGGAGGATACACTTTTATAGCTGGTGGAAAAAAGAGACGGTACAACTCGCCTCTTGTTTTAAATGGACATCTATCTGAAGTATACAAATAACCCGCTTCAGTGCGTCGGTAGCACAGCTGTCAGGACTGTCACCGTCCATGTACATAGTCCGGGTTTCGATCCCGCACACCTGATATCAATTGGTGGCCTGCAAATTTGTGTTACCGATACTGCATGCTGAAAATTTCATACTTGTACCAAAAATACGGTGTGGAATCAAGCTACAATCAAAACAAAATAATAATAATAAAATAGGTTATCCACTCAACCTTGATTTATCTACTCAAATGAAAGAAATCCACTGAAGCTTGATTATCTTTCCTTAACTAGCCGTCCAATGTTCACCCAGCAACTCAAAGACGCCTTACCTAACCTTAGCTCTTCTTCATGCATATACCATTTCAACTGTTCCTGTGGTTCAATTTGTATAGGGCGCACGATTAGGCAGGTTCATCTACGGGTTCGAGAACACTTACCAGCTTGGTTCAGCAGGGGGGAAATTAAGTGCATAAAAAGCTCGATCCTGTCACACCTGGTCGATAATGGACATCGCATCGATGTCAACACAGCTTTTAGGGTTATATACCAAATTCCGAAGTCGTTGTCACGTACAGTTCGTTTACGTCTCCCACATATAGCTGAAGCTTTTGCAATAAGAGCGACTAAACCGGAACTTTGTATCCAAAATGAACACATCCAGACGCTGTTCCTACCGTGGCCAACCTTGGATTGAAGATTTTTCTTCTCACCAAGAGTGCTCCTTCCCCTTAACCCTCTTGGTTTCTTTTCTTTCTTTTTACTTTGCTTATTATTACAAATATTATTATTACAGTTATTATTATTCGTCATAATTTATGCCCTTTATGCAAACATTCCCTTAATACTATCGAATATTTCATCTTTACTGTCCGGACTTATTATTAGTGATATTATCTGTTTTCTCAATATATGCCTCCATCTGTTTCATTTAACATATTCGTTATCTCAATGTGAACCTCTCATTCCAGTCTAACTATCTCCTGTTTAACACAGACCACTTTGTAATAGCCACTCACTTGACAACTTTTATAACCTTGAACTGATTTGTCAATTTTCCTACCCCACACTCTACAATTCTATTATGATTAATCACCACCATTGTCTCCCGTTTTACAATATTTCCAATCGATTTCAGCCTAGCACGTTTGTCACGCAAATATGACTATTTATTTTGACACCCCATAACTGCTAATCTGTTATTCTACGTTAAAAATGTATCTGCCGCATAACTGGCCTATATTGTAACGACCATAAATATTATATTTTATAATTGTAAGAACCTGAAGAGGAGAAATTATTGAAAAGAATATTCTTCGTTCAGATTGACTTTTAAAATATATCAGTTTTTTGTATGAGAAAATAGTGATTTAGATTTTATTTAGTTACCCTACGCATCATTAAAATTTATTTAGTACAATTAATTAAATTTGAATGGGCATAGTTTACTATCTTGAGACATTTTGACGTAGATATGTTGAGTTTATGAAAATTTTCAGGGTTCTCCAGTGATTTTTTTAGATGCTGCATTATAAGCAAGATTTTATTTCGACAAATCACACAGTGTTATGCAGTAATATTAACTGATGACGTTTCGAGCACAAACTATTGCTGATCACAATCATAACGATGAAATATATGCGAAGATGATATTTGCGCTCAAAACATCATCAGTTAATATTACTGTATAACACTGTGTGATTTATAAAAATAAAATCTTATCTATGATGGAGATATACGCGACCAAGGGGCCTAAGTTTTATACTTATACTTTTTTAGATGGTTAGGAACATACGGTGATATTTCAAGACAAGTAGGATTCAATGAAATCCTAATGAGATTATTTGTAGTTATTTTTATATTATTTTGTAATGAGTAATGAGTGACAAATGACTAAATCAAGTAAGGTAGATAACAGCTCTCAATTATTGTCTAATCATCACCACCATCATAACCTTTACACCGCTTTTACAGAAACAATTGAAGAAATAACCAGAAGAAAAGCTGGACGAATTCCGAAAAAGAGGACAGAAATAGGTATGTAACCCCCTTTTCATTGTCGCTTTCTGCTCAGTCAATATTCTAGATAATTTTTATTCCATATTATTTGATAAACTGTTTCATATTCTGTGTTTTTACCCTCACCTAACTGACTGACTGACTGACTGATTTCAACACAGAACGTTGTACCGATGTGCACCATTTTGAGTCACTACACTTCACTCAGAACACAAAGCCAGAGAAGAAGGAGAAAGTATAAAGAAACTCAAAATACAGACAGTGAAGAGAGATATTCGGCAAAGAGAATAGTACTATTTAAGAACATTATATCTGAAAGTACTTGGAAGGGGGCGATTATGCAATCAGTACTCTAATATGTTGCAGTTAAACCAAGTTTCACTATGTATCTTTTATTTTGACAGAAACTATTGAAGAAATAACCAGACGAAAAGGAAGGAAGCCGAGAACGAGGACAGAAATAGGTATTAACATTTAGATAAAAAGTGGAGAAGATTTGTAGCTTAATTGGATGATTTTGATGTAGTTGTGTTCTCCAAGCTGGTTGGTTCACTCGCAAAGCTTTCATTGCCCTACTAGGTAACATTTTGAGTGCATACTTTAATTTGAAGTGAGATTTTAGAAATCTCCACGAGTTTATTAGTCATTCATCCTGCTAACCAATCACGTACAAAGCTTTGTAGGTAAACCAACGAGCTTAGAGAACACAACTACATCAAAATGATTATTAACATTTGTCATGCTAATATTTTCTTTTATGCTCATAGAACTTCACTTTTGGTAATGAATGAATATTTAGTATTCTAATATTTCATCATTCTGTCATCATTCATTCTGTATTTACAGAGATCATAGAAGAAAGGAGACGGCGATTAGGCAAACGGGTTGTGAAGAGGAAATCAATACTTGGTAATAATCTGTAGTGTATTTTAATCAATTTTTCATGATATTTATTCTTTTCTGTGGTTGACGTTATTAAAAAAAAGCAGACCAAATTTAAAGTGATATCACAGATTTGTGTATTTATATAAATTCATGAGAGTCGGTGACCCGTTGTTAGGATACCCACCAACAACGTATGTCGTCCAAAGTTCGATTTACGGTGTCTGACAAACTACTAAATCTCGCTTAGCCAGCAGTTATTGCGGTAAGAAAGGAAGGTTCGGTGTAAGGGGCTAGCAACCTCACTCCATGAAAATAGAACACCTCTGCTAATGAAGCTTCAAAGCTCACGCTCCAGATGGACTGTTGTACATGAGTTAATAAAATAGTTTCAGAATGCATATAAGTTCAAGACAGATTTTACCCATTTCAGTCTATAAGAACCCTAAAAGATATATTGTAATTGTCCTTGCATCCTTCTAGATGTATATTCATGTTTTCTTACCTAGTCAAGTAACTGATCGTGTTAAAATCGGGCTGATCATATCACACCCGTGCACATGAATCCAGTCTCAAAGCCTATGGACCCAGTGAACAGCACACTAATTATCTTTTGCGGCAATGGGTACATGCGTCAAGTCTCAGTCAGTACACCCTCACTTACTGGGGAACAATTACGCCTATCTAACAGTCCCAAAGTAGGATGAAATTCCTGTCTTTAATTCTGCTGTTAGCTACCACATAATATATATATATATATATATATATATATATATAATCAATGGACGTGAATAAATTTCTTCCATAAATGTTAATATTTTCTAATTCCAATATTCTCATTTTCTCGTTTTTATCTTAAGATACAATTTCCGATACTGTCACTGGTATTATTCGTCCAGTAATCAGAGGTAATGAGTTATCTTTGAAATTTATTGCACTCTCTATCTATATTTATTTGTATTACAATATTTCTAAATAGTTCTAGCCTTTTTCTACTACCGTACATCATTGTAATCAGCTAGAAATTGCTGATGTCAATTGCCTGAAACATTTATGGGAACACCACTCTGATGCATAGGGTGGGAAATATGCCAAATGCCTGTTTGATGAACAGATCATTTCAATATATTTAATATGCACTTCTCATTGATATGAGTAGCTCTCAAGTTATCATACCAATCAGTGGTGTGCGTATCATCATGCTATTTTACTTGATTGCTTGTTTGTCATTTATGACATCAAGCGGACAAGACATCATTCTCACCACCATAATTTATAAATAAAGAACTTGATTCCATTATGTCAGTCTTTACCTACTCCAAAATAGATACAAGCCAGTTTTTTTATTGTTTGTTATTAATATCAAGTAATCTGCTGTTAAATTATATTCTTTTATACTTCTGTTTTTACCATAATGTAGGTATTGATGTCGGAATATTCGGCAGACGTGTTGACAAACGACGTATTAATGTGCACAGTGGACGCAGAATAAACGTTAGACGACGATGTCAAATTCGTGGTGGCATTGGTATAGGCGTCAGACGATGCTGTAGAGCCTGTGTAAGAGGTAGAGTTGCAGTTCGTGGAGTTGGTGTACGTGTTGGTGGATGCTGTAGAAGATGCCGGTGCTGTCAAGTGCGTTCGTGTTGTCGAGCAAGGACATGCTGTCGTCGGTGTTAATCAGCTTCATATTCAAAATACTTTTTTTTTAAAAATTCACTTATTCAATTCTCTATTCAAACATTGAATACTCTTGACTAACTTAGTTTGTGGAAGATTTAAAATCAAAAATGTTAACATTTAATGCTTGTAACTATTAGTTTCGGTATTTATACGTATACATAAATAAAAAACTATGGAAAATTATAGTGGTTTTCTTTATGTATATATCACAGCAAAGCAGTATTTGAAATTGTCTTTAATGCAAAACATAAGAATGACTTTCTCACTAGGTGTAAGCGGTTCCGTCGAAACGTTCCTGAGAAATATTATCACTATTATTATTATCCGTCCCTCGTGTTTCGAGTAGAATATAAGGGTTCATCAGTACATGTTGATTGCATTTGGTTCCCTGTTATCAATTCCATCTGGTTACACGGCTGCAACAGAAGTTTTCGGACTCCTCTTTCACACCCGATCCGTTGCTTCCCATTGGGGGTCCATCTGAGGGTGTACCTTCTTACATCCATCGTCTGAATATATATTGTAGCATATGTCCGGACCATCGTCATCTTTTTCAGCATATTTATTAGTCATTAGATAGTTTTGTTACTGTAAGTCATTCCAAATTGACACATTAAATAATAGAATAGAGAAAACACGATGAATAGAAATGTAATCATATAAAATATTTTGAAAAATTATGAGAAGAAAAATAATTAATGCATATATATATATGTTTATTATCCTTCCCTGTCCTGGGTAAATCATAGAACTCCAATAGCAGTCGTCTTTAGTTGGCCCCACTATTTTCCATATGCTTTCATCGATAACAAGTGATAACGTCGAGATAGAAGAGCATCGTTCAGGGTAATTCATTAGTCAACTTACATAATAAAGGAAAGAAGCAAAACTGTAGTAAGAACTTTACTCTGACCATGTTAGGGCGAGAGAATGTATGTATTGCTTTCGAATGCAGAGGTCCGGTTTCAGACCTAGAATGGCTAATGCGTCAGCTATGTACAGATGGCGTATCCAAAGTCCTTTGTTACGATATTGAGGGACTCCGGATACGTCATCTGTACACAGCTGAAGCATTAGCCACTCGAGATCTGAAACCGGACCTCCGCATTCAAAAGCGATACATAATGGATTAGTCATCAGATCATTTATTAATGTTGCAGTTGGGTAAAGGTGACACCGGTATGTGACGGGTAGATGAGTAAAGGTATATCACATTTCATGTTCATGGCAGCCGATAGAAGCATCATTGATGTAGCTTTAAAGGAACTGAGAGTGCGCCTCAAGCAATCTGAACTGCAAAGTAAGTAACTGTTCATTCATCCAATTGCTTTAAACACTGTGGTTAGCAGATATCTTCTTGTTAAGTATGTTGTAGAACACTAAGAATATTGTGCTTTGAAAAGTTAGTTTCCATAAAGCACTTTCAACTGAACCAGTTTATGCATAAACACACTTTAATAAATCTTCAGCAAGATTGGTTATTGTATTTTAACTTTGTTCCGGTTGAATGCAAATTTTATGCTTTATCCTCGTCAGTTGATTTCAATTCATTCAGTTAATTTCATTCTTCGCATACTCGGCGTTTTTTAAAGTCATTGACGTTAATATTATCTGGCATTTTCGTTTCACCATGTTGTCACGATGTCCAGTAATCTCAGGAGTTCACTGGTTATCTGTCTAACGTCAGTTAGCGACGCTGTGCTTGATTTTACCTAAATTAATGAAGTATTGGTGTTTATTTCTTTTATATCCCCAAACTGTTAATCTTGGATTGACAATGATTTCCATTTCCTCACTTCCATGTTTGAAGTGCGTCAGTTTTCCTTTTAATAATCGTAATCTGTAAGATGGAATGATATCAAACAATGCCTGCGAAGTGCGCGTCGGTGGTTCAGCAGTAGAACGCTCGCCAAGCAGCTATGTGTTTCGGGATTTCATCCCCGGCTGAGGCACTCCCAAAAGTCTCCAAGCCGGTAGGTAGGCCAGAAAAGACAGGATGTTGGGCAGGAGGCCAGCTACTACACTCTGTAAAAACAAAACCAATGCTACTGAAACTTCAAGCCTCTAGCTTTAAGCTCTATGTTCCACTAGTAGCGTCAAGCAACAAAATAAAAATTACTACGAAATATTTCTTTCTCTCCTCGTAGGAATGTTTCATAAAATCTGAGTGTATGAAGCTTTTAAAAGATATCTGATATCGAAACCAACTAAGGTAGAGATTTCAGGTGAAGCGAGATCAACTTACATCATTGATGACCTGCTTTGTCACCAACACTGTAAATTTCTCAGGAATCGATAGCACCTAGAACAGCTATTGTAAATTGGTGATTACAAAACGACTGTTTCTCATAGTGAGCTACTCAATGTACATTTACAACCTCTTGAGGGAGGAAAAATAAACCATAGCATTACAAGGACTTTGTTTTTCAAATCTGCTAGCGATTTTTACGGTCGCACGTTTTTAATTCTACCTGCTCCTCAACATAAATTTATTACTGTCCGTTATTACTGATTGGTAAGTGTGTTGTCTCTTAGTGGCTAGCAGTAACTGTCGCAGTTTTCAAAAGTGCCTCTGGGATCCAATGCTGAAACTAGTTTATCAGATAATTAATTGAGTCCGCAAAGATTAGTAGGGTCCGATTAAGATCAAAGAAATGACTAGTTCTGTATGGGTTTCACCCTGCCCTAAGTTATGATAGTTTGAGGCGAAAATTCTATCCCAGTTAGACAGGGCATTTCCTCTTCATTACGCTTTTGTTCTCTTTCAAAACGAATTACATCCTCCAGTAAAAGTGTCGAAACAGAACAACATATATTCTGGGAAACAGAATTTCTTCCGATTTAAAAGAAATGTTTGATCAAATTTGAGCTTGTACATCTCGTCAGGAATTTCGGTCTCTCGTCCAAGTCGAAGCTCATCTAAAATATCTGATCATTCAAATCACACTTCTTAAAATGAAGACATAGAAGACCATTTAACACAAACAAAATGATACAGAATTTTACAGTAATTGACACTAGTCACCGTAACTTAATCAGATATGTTTATTTAATGAAACTGAATAACAGAATGGGGACAGCTTTCGCGAGAATATTTTACATTTTTAATTGTTCCATTGAGTTCTGAATGGAACTTCAACAGCATGTCTCCATTTGATCCTACTCTCTGCAGTTATCTACATTCGACTTTATATGACCGTTCGTAAGCTTTCATCTCCTGAAACCACGATCCCATTCACGTCTACCTTTGACCCACGCACAAATCGCTGTCTTCCACACGAGTTCTTTTCAAGCGCCTGGTGCGCGATGTCATCTAGCGGTTTTATCACTGTGTGTCCACTCCATCTCTATTCACTTTGGAAAATTTGTTGAGCGATAGGTTTTTGATTGGTTCGTCCCAACGGTTTCTTGCTGCCAATTCACTTTGGCCATTTGATCCTCAGTAAATTTGAGCAATTTGATGGAAATCCTTTTCGTGACGCACTAGCTAATTTTTTGACCCACACAGAAGAAGTGACTTCCTTAACACTGGCGTTGAAAATCCGAATTTTGTTCTTTGTGCTAAGTGCACAAGATTTGTGCACAGATTTCAGAGTGGTTAAAATCTCTTTTGCTTTCCGATCCTGGCTTGTTTAAACATCTTCATCCGTTTCGACGCCTGTAGTTGAAACGATGCTGCCTATCCAGATAAGTGGTAGAAGTGAAGTCTCCTAAACATCTCCCGTTGAAAGTGGTCTGTACCTCTTGTTGCTGTCAGCATTAGCATTACCTCTGTCTTCTCTATATACACCTGCTTGCTGCTTCTTTAGTCAATTTGTTTGTGAGCCTGTAAGCCTTCAAGTTTGTGTGATATGAGACACAAATCATCCATGAAATCCACATCATCTAGAGTATTCTTATCGGAGGTGCAGCATATTTCCGCCTCCTCGTCCACTACTATCAGGAATATGATAAACGACAGCAGAAGTCCTGATTTACTCCTGTCTTCACTTTAAAAGCTTCGCTGGGTTTTCGGTTTTGGCTCACGTGACATGTATTATTGTCATATAGCTGCTGGATGAGGTTAAGGAAGAGTCGGGACACTCCACTGTGTTGAAATAATTTCCAAATTCCTTTTCGGCCAACGCTGTCGAAGGCCTTTTGAAAGTCAGTTCAGTTAAGCTACAGGTTTGATGATGATGATGATGTGTAGAGTTGAAATTTGATCAGCACATGATTTGCCTTTCCTGAACCAGTTTGTATAAGATTGTGAAGTTCTGCATGCACTGCCTCCTTCATTCTCTCCAGAATGACACCACTGAATATTTTACTCGGTATAGACAAAGACATTGTTCTTTACCAGTTTGACAAAATTAACCCTTCTTCCATTCACTAGGTGTCTTTCCTTTCTTTCAAATACTTAACAGTAGTTGCATGAGCATATTCGCTAACTTTTCTGAAGTTTCATCAGCTGCACACTACCTGAATTATAATATACATAGATAACCAGAGTAACACAATGTTAAGATTATTTCAGCGAATCGCCAGTTCACTTTATGAGTTGAATAAAATGATGTGGACGGCAAAGATGAACTAAGTATGGAGAAAATAAGAATGATCAATTAAGATCAAAATGGAAACATTTTCATACTATAAAGAAAGGAAGATCAAGCATGAAAACTCGATTTCGGAGATATATGGGAATTATCGCGCACACTTGTAGATGGTTATTTAGGTGAAACGAAAGCGGTAACCAACAGCGAAGATATTCGTAAAGAAGTTAATGCGTAAGTAGATGGTTGCAATTACCGAATTACGACATTAAAATGAAATGTCACCTTGTTTATTTTATGTGAATCAGTATTCGCCAAAACAGCAGTAAGTAAGTAGCAGTCTCTTTTAGATTAAATAATTTAAGCTTCTCTCCTCTGATGAACAGGCTTCGGCAATTCAAAACTGTTGTAAAATGCTTTATTCGTTTACTACCTAAAAAGTCTGGTTTGTTGGTCTGGTGTCCTATGTCAACCAGGTGTCAAGCTATAGCGCTGTTAATAGTGAGACAAATTAGGCTTCACACATATAAAGGGGACTTTATT